TTACTGACCACTATTAGCACGATTTATTGCCAATCAAAATTTTGATTATTTTCGGCCTGAACAAGCCAGGAGGCCCAAAACTAAAATGCAGAAAAAATGAAATAAAAAATTCATATATATTTAAAATATCAAGTTTGTTCAGTAGACTACAAATGAGAAAAAAATTTTCATGCATAGCAAAAAGCACAAGGGCAAAAGTTCACAAAAAATTCTATCAACATTCAAAATTCCACGTTCGTTTCGTTTTGGTAACAAAAATTCACATTTCTTTTTCAGAACACATATCAAACATGATATTTAAAAACATTTCCATTTCCGATTACACTTTTTAAAGGACTTTCCTTAGTGCTCGCCTTTAAAATACATACTCTCACTGCAAATTTTATTTATTTAAATAAATTTTTATTCTCTGGCAAATCTAAAAGAAAAACATTTTAATATTTGAGTAAAAAAACAAGTTTGCTAAACTTGTTTTAATAAAACATTAATGAGAATAAAATCAGATGCATATGGATAACTCTCCTCAATTATAAACACAAAAGTCAATTTATTTGTTATATCGTAATAAATTACGATTTCCCCCCCAAATGTTTTAGATCATAAAAACCAATTAGACAGGTTTCCTCCCATCCTCTGCTTTGGAACCATTTTTTATATTTCGATTGCATCGCTTAACGAGGATGTGGAGTCATTGTGAGTTTTTTCTTTTTTTTTACATTAACGAAGTTTATTTTATAAAATAAAAGAACTTATAAATGTTTAGGGAACATATAGGATAAAATATATATTAAACACCAAAACATTATAAATAATTAATTAAATAAGAAATAAAATAAACTGGAAATGCGAGAACAAGACTTTCGTTTCAAACAATATTTCATTTAAATTTCACAAGAACTGTCAGAAACTTCCCTCTTCAGCAGCATAGCTGACAAAGACATGAGGAAGAGAGTTAGAACAAAATTTTTTATCATCAATTTTTCCCCACATGCATTTTCCCACCAACATTTTTATAATACTAGGAAGTTTCGTCCCTTGCACACTTCGCTCACCAACCTTCGTAATAGCCACTCATGCAACTTAGATTGTTTTTCCCTGTATCGATACTTTTTCAAAGAGAAAATATATAAATATTGAAATTTTATGTAAGAAAATTTTATTAATATGTCAATAGTAACAAAATTAACGATTACTTGCATGTGAAAAAAAAATCAATTGAGCTTGAAAAAAATAAATATCTAAGCATCGGGAATATATAAATTTCTGATAAAACAAGAAGTAATTTTACTATCTAAAAAATTTGTGTTTTTCGGATTAAATTCTTCGTAAACCATAGTTATCATTGTAAAAGTTTGTACCTTTTCTTTCTCTTTTTTTTTGACAAGATTTTAAACTGTATAAATGCGTTTTACTCATTGTGGGGGAATATTATATAAGTATTCTTTTTATCGACAGAAAATTTTTGCAGCTGAAATAGCCTGTTAACGAAAAGACCTTGTCATTGAAATTACCTATCGACCACATGGTTTCATTATCTCACAGATTCATTATATACCGTCTTTTTTTCCTTCCTAATTTCACCCGTCATTCACTCCCTACATCAAGAATCATTTACAATAGTTTTGCAATTTCTTTTGCGATGCTAATCTACAATAATATACATTAAAAATTAATCTTTGAAATAAATGTGTTAAATATGACTAGAAAAAAAATTGTGTAATATACAACTTAAATGTGTAAAATACAATTTAATGTTTCGTTTTTGCAACGTGATGTGAATAGAGGAGTAGGCAATTTTCAAATGAAATGCTTTTTTTCTGGCAACTTCAACATACTATTAAGATTTTGCATCAAGCTAGGTTTAAAAAATTTCCTCATAAATATACTAAANAAGGATAGCTACGAAGTCTTTTTCTTTTTATACCGCCAGATGGCGTTCTTTTTAAATTTGTATGTGTTTGTTTGCTTTTTGTTAATAAACCTTTACTTTCTGTCTGAATCTCGATCCACGGACTACATATAATTTTAAAGCAAACAATATTTAAAAAAATAGAGGAAATAAATAATTTACAGAACATTAAAACTGGGTTTTGCTCAGCGCCCTCCTTACCTGGAGCTACATGCAATCGCCATCCCTGGGTGTCAATGCACCTCTTTATTTGCACTCGGCCTTTCTTAAAAGGTAAATAAAAAATAACTAAATAAAAGGAGACCATTAGATATAATTTGTCAAAATAATACAAGATAAATTTTCATGAGCGTAGAATATTGTTGGACGGAATCTTACAAGCGCAAATTATTATTGATCTGAATCTTAAACATATAAAATATTGTTGGACAGAATATAACTTGGATAAAATAGTGTGAAACAAAAGTTTCTTTCTTCAAAGCAAAATTTATTTATTGCTGCACTTAGCTCATATTATGCAGCACTGTTTTATTGTCAGCCAGACAGAGAGTAATTCATCCATGGTTAATCGATAGTGCACTGTATTTGGATTTAAATTGAGATTTGTTTCCTATATACAGTTGGACCTCTATTTAACGAAATCACTAAATTCCGATAATAAGTTCGTTATATGGAAAATTCGTTAAATAAAAAATCACCTTTTAAAATACTCGAGCAACACAAAACAGGTTTTTAATTTATAAACACTAACATAATTAAAATAGCAATTGATGCACCTTTATCGTGTAAACTAGTATCTACTATTTATTTTATAAATCTTAACCATAAAAGAAATCTGCATGGAAAGCAAAAATAGAGCAAAACATTATCTAGTGTTACACTATCATGCTATATACATTTTCAACTAAAAAAAAGACTAAATTTATGTATAAAATTATAGTTGCATTTATTATAAAAGTAATTTTAAACATACATTACCACCTGCGTTCTTAAGTTAAACTGTTACAGATAAAATCCGTAAATTAGAGCTGAGTTTCTCGTTTGAAATGCTAACAGAAAGAGAATTTACTGCGTTCTTTAAGATAATTTTTAGTGAAAACAGTAATACATTTCATAAAGCAGAGGCTTCAAAAATTAATTCAAGGCCATTTCCCTCATAAAATGCGTTAACAAGCTTAAAATGTTAAGAAATATTTTGGAAAAGTGGGTATCAATGGAAATTTCGTTAAATAGAAAATTCACTTCGCAATTTGGAAGTCATTTTACAAAGAAATTTCCAAAATGTTCTTGGTTCTTCGAAAAAAATTTGTTAAATGGAAGTTCGTTAAATAGAAGTCCGACTGTATTATAAAACAAAAATATAAAATACATATTCGCTTCACTTTAGAATCGTTAGGACCAGAAAAGTAAGAGAACAATAATCAAATGGCCTAAATTATTTGTTATTGATATAAACACTACAGCACTTACAGTATCAATACTGTACAGTTCAATATTTAAAATAACAAATTATATAAGCAAAGATAAAAGAAAATCCTTTTCTAAGAAATTAATAAAAACTTAAAAAGTTTCTGATTATTTTTTAATATTTCAGGACAACAAAAATACATTTTTAATAGAACAAAACCTTTCATAGAATTTTTACTATAATAATAAAACAATATATTTTTATGCAACATCACCTGAATAAGGCTTGCACAGTCCACCATTTTTTAGAATTCTCTAATTATTCTGCAAACATTGGAAGAAGCTTTATATGAACAGCCATAATTTATCCAGAGACAAAAATTTTTATATAAAACTGTTCCTTATTATCCAGAGGTGTTTATCAAAAACTATTAAGGAAAATATATATATTATTGTAGCCTCATAATCTTAAGTCTGAGAAGGATATCTGTATTATTTAATAGCTTAAAACTTTGGATATATAATTCTTGAACTGCAACTTTTTCAAATGAAAAAAAAAAAAACTCTTTTGAAAGATACTTCATTTTGGTTCTATAAACAGAAGTAATACTTTGATTTTCAGAGAGTAGTAAATTGTTCAGTGACTCAGGGCTACCTTAATCAATTCAAATTTACTGTCCCGCATGAAGAAGGCAGTCTTTACAACCAAAAATGTCTCTCAGAAAATATCCAGTCAGTTAAAGTAAAAAAAATTTATTAGCATGGAGTTTTCCCAAAACTAGTACTGGAGCCGTGGTGGCTTCCAATAAGGTGAACCAGGTTCAAATCCCAGCAATGGCTGGTCAATACGAACTCCATACCCCGCTTCCATTGACCACAGTGCTGACGTAAAATATCCTCATGTGTTAGATTTCCCTTGCCGTCAGGCTAACCATGTGAGGTCTTTGTGGTTTTCCTTTGCATATAACGCAAATTTCTCCCAATACTTGATCCAGGAGTTCCCTAGTCTTCTAGATTCAGTTCAAAATTACAAGACTACGGAGTTGAACATTAGTAGTCGTAAACCTAAAACTTAGGTGGGCAGTTCAATGACAATTATAAAATTAGTACTGAATTAAAAAAATGCAGTGAAAATGTTTTTATAAGGTTTCCGAAACTCTTAAACATACCCGTGCTTATAAGTATAAATTTCTATTACTGAAAAAATGTAATTCTCTAAAGTACTTTGAAGGTAACAGAATAATTTTGGTAGGTACATTCGTGAAAACTTCACAACAAATGTTTTTCAGAACATTACAAAGCTAACCCTGAACATGAAAAAACAAACTCTTTCTGTGAAATCAGTAGACTGAGGTAAGATTTAAACACTAGAAAATCAATGTATTAGAGTTACCACTCAAATCTGAAAGAAAAAACAAACACCCTGTGTTTTCTCTATACATATTATACACAATATACTAAGAGGAAACAACAATTACTGTGCTCTTGTGTGAGCTCTATTCAGCTAACTATATTCATTAGTTATAATAGCTGGAAAAATTTGGAGAAAAAAAAAAGAACAGCTGAACAAACTTAAATAATGCTATAGTAAATAAAATTCAGTATAGCTGAAATATCCCATAGACTTTGATTTGAGTGGTCACTATTTTTTAAAAGACAAAAATAAACTATCAAAAACAAAATATAAAAAACAAAATTCCTTTTATTTCACAGGTTTTCCCTGTGTATGCAAGTGTATCGAAAAAGAACTACAGTCTGCTCTTGATATAACATCACTTGTGGATTAAACTAAAACATATGTTATATTTTAAAGCCACAAAATAAGAGCAAATATTTGCTTTCAATTCTGGATTTACCTTGAGAAAAATATGCCATATAATATAATTATGAAGCCAATAGAATAATTGACATTAATGTAGTTTTATGTCGATAAAGTGCAAGTATTAATATAATACATAAAAGGGTAAAGATACATTTGATTTTTCTCAAATGATATCTTTTATTATGCATAATTTTTATAAAGTCATTCAGCACTTTTTCTTAGTTTTGAAATTTTCTTTCATGAGAATTGATGGCGTGTGATTGGTGCCAATTCCCCTTTCTCTATAATAAAACCATGAATTTAATTTTAAGATTCAGAATATTTTAAGCAATTTTTGGTATTGATGTAATCTTTCGATTGACTTCCTTCAAAATTTTAAATCTCTGTTCTAAGCATATAGCTTAGGCATACAGCCAATTTTGACAAAATTCATCTTATGCCCAGAGAACTGTTAAATCTAAGTAAATATAAAATAAAAAGAATGTGATTTCAATACCATTCGTCTTAACTGCAAAATAAACTACCTCTTATAACACATCACTAAAGAGAAAGAAATTGATTAATGAACCCTTTGAAAAGAAATTTACGAAGAATCCATACACGAAACTCCAAGCTGGTTCTGCAACGAGGATGCTTCAAATTATCAATAATGGAAAGTAACTGATATCAATCTTTTTGATCATTGAATATGCAATATATGCTTCAAATTGCAATACTGTTTCAAATAGATTAGTTTAAGTTGCTACATTTTTAAAAAAAAAATTCAAGTTTCAGTTGCATTTAAACAATTAGCAACCATAAATTTCAATTGCTATAATAGAGATTCAAGTACTATAGTAAATAATTGTATTATTGGGTTAGTGTTTTCTTCGAGCTTCGACCTTTTCTTTCCTGTTGAGGGTCTTTCAGCATGTAAGCAGGCATATAATAGGATGTTCCACTCTTTGTCACACTTAACAGTTCTTCATTGGGAAGTGTGTTGTGCTGGCAGCCCAAAGAAGTGTATCTAGGTAATAAAAGTAACATTAACACTTAACGTATGCAAAACATATACAAAAACGTTTCGGAGGAATATTTCTACTTTTTAGAAAAGTTATTAACTTAAAACATTTGTGAAAAAAAGAAGGAAAAAAAACGGGCCAACCTGAATAACTTTTGATCTAATCATCGGATCTTCATGTTCAAGGACTTAATTTTTATGATTCGAGAGAGTGACCTCAAATATGCTTATTAATTAGTGCAGACGATATTTTAAGTTACGAAAAAAGGCACAAAAACATACTTTCTCTGAATAAACATACCTTTTTTAACATACAGATTTCTGACCACCAAAATACAGGGGTAGCCACAATCTGGGGAATATGGTTGTCAGGAGAGTGATGCAAAGTTTTAACCCGTTAATTTTACTTTTTGTGTATTTAGCCATATCTCCAGAAGTTTTAAAGCAAAAATTTTTGCATGCTATTATATAATTTATTTATGCTAAGATAATTCCCTGCAAAAAAATAAATTTAATTATTTTATTGAAGAATGATAAAAAAAAAATTTGAATTGTAAGGTACAAAATTTTTTTTACATCATTTTAAAGACTGTAATTTTATAGAGCGAAACATAAAATTTGAGCAAGATCGGTATAACATATGCATAGATAAACGAATTTTTTAATTGTGAGCAAATTTTTTTTAACTCTCTTTAATATTTCTCGAAATATGGCGAAATACACAAAAAGTAAAACAAACATTAAGGGGTCCAAACCTTGGAAAACTCACCTGCCCAAACTATGGCAACCATATTCCCCAGGTTGCGGCTACTCCTTATATTTCGAGGATCAGAAATCCGAATTCATCGGGAAAAAAGGTTTATTTATTCTGCGAAAGTATGTTTTTGTGTCTGGTTTTGTAACTTAAAATAGCGCCTGCACAAATTAATTAGCATATTTGAGGTCATCCTCTCGAACCATTAAGAATGAGTCATAGGACGTGAAGATTCAATCATTAGATAAAATTTTTTTTTGCACACTGTACATATGACAACAATGTTGTCAAAGTATGTATTTCATGACTTTCCATGACTAATTCCAAGAACTTTTCATGACTTAACGAAGTTACTATTTTCTCCCAACAAAAACAGAACAATAAATTTAAAAAGCTATTTTTATTAATTAATAATACTCTGGATTTTTTTGTTCTCATTTCGAAATAAAAAGAATTCAACAATGACTGTCTTGCTTCTGCTACAATTGATGAAATGAAAAAATTGTGAAATCACAGAAGTTTAAAAGATAATTCGCTCTAGAAATGATGTTTTTTCTTACACATATGACTTTCCAGGGGGCAGATACCCTGTAACTAGCAATTTCCAGAATCCCAATACATTTATTACGACTCGTGAGTTATCAATCATGCATTTAATTTACCACTTTTTAGCGTGCTTTATTTGTGATAATTTCATTATAAGTCTAAATAAAAAAAAATTTAAAGTCAGTTATTGCTAAGCTTTTTTCTTGTTATTGTTTTTACTACAATATTATTATGACAAGCAGGTTTAAACTAGCACATTCAAACAATCACTTTTTTACATGCTTTGTTTTTGCCAATTTAACCTTTAGCCCAAGTTATTATTCAATAATTTTTAGGGCAGTTTTTACGGTGCATTCCCAAGTCGCTTTAAAAATTCTCATTTATATAACAACTTACGAATTTTAAATCACACATTTAAATAATTACTTATTGACGTGCTTTATTCTTTCTGATTTTATGGTAAATTTGAGCCATTTATCTATATATTTGCAATTTTGCGATGTTTAATGTTTCGTCATTCGTATTTTGGCTACCCCGTTATTTTAACTATGATGTTACTATAACACGCGATTTTCCAATCATGCATTCAAATAATCACTTTTTCATACAATTCACTTATGTATATTTCATTCTAAATATAAATTATTTTTCAGTCGTTTTTTGTCGACAAGTTAACGTCATGCATTTGTACATCTTAATAAAATGTTATTGCAAACTGAAAAATTCAAAAACTGGAGGAAAACATGAATTTTTAAACTGCTCATTGTTTTAAATGTTTTGTAACTTTGGTGATTTTTCAAAAAAGAAATGTTTTTTATTTAAAATTTATAGGACCAAAAAATTCAAGAAACAGAAATAATGTCTCTGAAATATAATCTAAAAATAAATACCGCATCTTATTTTGTACAATAATGGTTTTGTTTTAATTTTTGCTTAAACCCTATAAATTTTCTTCAATTAAAATATTTAATTATAGTAATTATTATGTACATTATTAGTAATTATTATTTATATTACTCATTAAAAATTTATGTATTCTTTTTAGACCTTCATTCTGTGAGCATTAGCTTTTTATTTTATTTTATTAAAATTTATATTTTCTTCCCACTATTTTTGCATACATATATTTTTGATAAAAACAATTATTGATAAAAAGAGAAAAATTTTGTTACAAAAAATATCACTTTTTATATTTTTGAATAATTAAAAGTATTTAATTTTCTGCTAATTTTTTCGATTAAAAAAAAAATCTACCGCTTAGTTCACTAATATTTACACAAGAATTATCACAAATGCTGAAAACAGGCTCTTCATTAATCAACTTGCTGTGTAAGTGGCTCTTCGCTCACAAAAGTTGTGCACCTCAATAAGCTAATGATTAGTCATAGAAAAATAAGTTATAGCGCCTCATAAGTAAAATATAAAACACACTATAAGATAAACTGTATGTAATTATTATTAATTGCTAAAACCCCAAGAATTTACAAACTATGAATTTCCCTGATAATTCCCTGTTTTCAAAGAGAGTGGCCACTCATGAATGACTTACAAGAAATAGAAAACTCACCCTCTGTCATAGAGGCTGCAATAAGGGACCTGAAGTTCTTTTAAGAATTCCCACACTTCAGAGTAAGACCAGTGGGATAGAGGATTAACACGCATAAACTGTGGCCAGTCATCATCTGTTTTCTGAAAGGGAAGAAGTTGAGAACAGTGAGGATCAGTCAGACGGGAACCCATCAGTATAGCTTCTATTTCAGGGTGATCTTTCTTCAGGTTGGAGAGGGCTTCTTTTATGGGATGTTCGTAAGTCATGACTTCAAGGTCATACCTTAAATGGAGAGAAATCAATCAGAAGAAGAATTTCATCAATAATATCTGCTTTACAAGGGGGAAAAAAAAGGGCGCCAGCATAATAATTCAAAAGGGGTGCAACCCTTCAACAAACTAACTCCCTACCCCCCCCCCAAAAAAAATTTGTTTTGTTTTGTTATTACATATGCTTTCAATTATGTTAATTTTTTTTCATTTGTTTCACTAGAGAAAATTCTTATGAATCCCTTGAATAAATTTATTTAGTTATTCAGGCCACACCATTTTATCCAGGTGTAACGGAGGCAATCAAAATTGGCCTAACTCTTCCAGCTACTACATGCATTATGGAACGCTTTTTCAGTACAATGCAAAGCATCAAAACATAGAATCGGTCTACAATGTCTCACGAAAGATTGATTAGTTTGTGCATGCTCAGTGTGCATAAGAAGAGAATCAAAGATGACTCAGAATTCATTGAAAAAGTCATAAACAGATTTGGACAGCTAACAAGACGATTACAATTCTTGCTTGATTAAACAATTTTTTAATTTTTATGTATCAATAATTACTTAATTATTTATTTTTGAATAAAAATATTTTTAATAAAAAAATTATATAACAAAATTGTTTTTCTGTACCTCTTTAATTGTTTTTTTAAAAAAAGTCAGGGGGATGCAAGTGCACCCCCTTGAACCCCGCTGCCGGCGCCCTTGGGGGAAAGCTGTGAAACGTTACTTATAGTCAGCCCTGTAATATATTATAATTTTAAAACAAATAAAGTATAATTAGGGATTTTTTTTAAAAAATTACAAATTATCACTTTATAAAAAGAGACCTGATGACAGCAGTTATGCATGCTTTCCACGGCTGAATTCCCATCATTTCAGAAAAAACTTTTTCTAGCGGTGGAAAATTAATGTATTAATCAGTGTTCTCCACAAGCGTTTTTTGAAGGGCAGCCCACCTGCCCCTTGATCCATATAAATTTGCCCTTTTTGTAAAAATAAGCCACCATCCCTTAAGAACATTACCTTTTTATTTAGTTAATGTTAATTATTTAATTTCATTCCTACATTTAAGTCAATTTTTTCCTTATGTTGTGCAGTTATGTAGCTAAAATTAACTTGAGATTTGGCCTCAGAGGTATTAAAATTTTTTATATTGCTGAATTTTTTAGTAATTTTAAGTCTTAATATATAATAAATTTTAATAAATACCTTTTTTTTTTAAAAAAAAAAGATGCCCCCTTAATGTTTATTTTTTTTATAATTTTCAGTTAAAAATGTTTAAAAAAAAAGCATTTAAGTTATTTATCATTCAATCCATTTTGGAAGAAAATTTATGCACAGAGATCGTCTTTTAACTTGCCTTTAATTCAAAAGCTTCAACTTTTTCTGTTATTTTGATGATGATTGATAATAACTTTGTGAAATATATACATAACATAGCATAAAAGGGTAATTCAAAAATTCATGATCAAATTTAGTTATTACATAATAATGACACACTGGTAAAATTTTCTGTGTTTATAGGTTTAATTCCAAATGTTTACTTTGTTAGGATTTTTCTCAACTCAGTGGTAATAGCAGTGTTCTCTCTAAGCATTTTTAGAAGGACAGTCCACTCTGCCTGCCCTTAAATGCACCCTCAAAGTAAAAATAAGCCACCCATCCCTTAAACACACTGCCTTTTTATTCATATTCCATTTTTAAGAAAATTAATACACCATTTAAATAATAATTACACACTGGTAAAATTTTCTGTGGTTATAGGTTTAATTCTGATTACTATTACAAATATATATTTTGCTAGGATTATTAACTCGTTAAATTTTTATAAGTATCTCTTTCTTTAGAGGGGGGAATATTAATAAACTTTTTATTGGATTTAATTTTTTAAATAAGTAGCTCTTATTTTTAAAAAATGCAACATTAAATGAATACATGAGGCTCTGGAACAATTAGTTAATATTTTATTTTAGGAAATCATTTACTGTTTTTCATGCACCTGATTTTTATTTAAATGTCACTAATGATATTTATTACATATAAGACTACAAAGCAGTCAAGGAATTAGATAAAAGTTCGATTTATTTTTACCTTACGTAGAACAAGGCAGGAATCGATTGCAATAAAATTTTGATTAAAAAGTTTGGGAACTTAAATAGCCATAGCTCAACAAATCACATTTTGCTACATTTAATAGAAATATTTGTTTCTGTTTTAAGTAAAATAACCTTAATCCCCTTTATTTTAATAAAATAATTGATTAAAGAAATAATTTATAAAGCATTGGAAGAGTTTAAAATTAACAAGCCTCAAGTAAGAGCCTCTTACCTGTCAACACATAACTCTATAAAGTTTTCAATTTCTTGAAATGATTGCCCGCTTTTTACAAGGAATACTTTTAATTTCTTATGACCAGAGAGGAGACCTTTCTTCTGGAGAAATAAAAAGGTGAGATGCAAAAGAACTGTGCAGTCTTTACCACCATTAAAACTTAAACAAGTATTTTCAACTGAATATGTTTCAAAGCACTTTTCAAGTATTTCCAAACTTTTTTTTAGTGGCAATATTTTGCTTGCAAAGAGTGTGGAGAGAGCTTCTTTGGAGCAGGGCGGATTGGGTCCCACCACTGAGTTCTGGGGAAGATGACTTCTCAGAAAAGCTTCCGCTTCCACAAGAGCTTCTTTTGAATCTGCCTCCAGAACTAATTTGACCTGATAGTAATCGTTCTCGATGTCGGGGTAGGAGCCGAACCTCACTTGTGAAGAGTCAAACTCTTTGACGGTTGCATTCAGGCAAGAAGTAATGTTAAATTCATTGCTGTTCACAAACAAGCAAACATTGTAAAAAGGTTTAGACGTTTTTTTAAAAATCGCTTTTAAATTGCTGAAAGCTAATTCCAAGTAGGACGGTATACCGGGAAAAATAAATACATTCTGTACAGAAACAATGGGAATAAAAGAATGGTCACTGTGATGGATCTCGGCAGACACTGGGACGTGAGACATTTTGAGTGTAGCGGATTCATCTAAATCGAGTCTGAGACACAACCGTGAAAAGATATTTTGAAGCTCCTTGTTTAAAATTAAATTTTCATCAAAAGCTTTGGCAACTCCTTCGTAAGTGACATCGTCGTGAGTTGGGCCGATACCACCAGCCGTCAGCACGTAATCGAATAATTTAGAATTAGAACGCACTTCTTTGGCAACAGTGTCAACATCATCACGGAGGACAGTAATGCGAGAAACGTAAACCCCGCACTTATACAGCTCTCTGCAAAGAAAGTGGGAGTTTGTATCTCTTGTTTGCCCTTTAAGAATCTCATCACCAATAATTATGATGGATGCAGTTGATCTAGCCATTTCACAGCAAATATCCTAGAGAAAAGAAAACAAAGAGTTAAAGTAACTCTAATAATAACATATATCAGCAGTTCCCAAAAGGTGCTCTGTGGAACCCTAGGGTTCCATGGAAAGGACCTTTATTGACCAGTAATGATTTTTTTTAAAACCTGTAATAGGTTTGTATCCAATCACTAATCCATTATTTACCTCAGATTAAAGTTATTTTTTTAAAATTTATTTATGTAAAGTATTATACACATTGAATAAATTGCTAAATACAAATTGTTGCTCAATTCTAATATTTTGTAATAATTGCTAAATACAAATTGCATTTACAAATTGTTGTATCAGTATTCAAAATTATAATTCAGCTTATTTTATTCTATTTTAACTAAAACAACAAAAACTACTAGACTCAACTTCCTATAGCAAAACTGGAGCCTTTGCAGACTTGTGAATTCAACTGCATATCATAAAACCTAATTTTAAGAGTTATTGAGGTCTAGGGTATTTACATGATTTGAATGTTTCACTCATAATAGTAGAATAAAAAATATATTGCAGACTTAACTTAAAAACAAACTACAACACTTTAGATACTTAAAATTAGTAGCATGTACATTTATTATTATTGCTAGAGAGGTTTGTCGCAAAAAGCTAAAAAAACAATTTTTAAATTTTTTTTTGGTTATAAATCTAAATAAGATCTATGATGAGAGAAAAATTAAGGAAAGGAATTATTTCAAGAAAATTATAAAAATTGTCTTTTTCAGAAATCAATTAGCTCTGCATATTATTCTTGCCCCTTTAACCTTGTTTGATCCCAATTCAAAATTAAAATATTTTGATACAGCATAATCAAAGCTTTAAGAAATAATATTCATTTTAAGGCAAAATTTGTGTTTATTCTTTCCTTTTTATAAGTTGCATTAATATGAACCCTTTTATTAAGAAAATACTACATCAAGTTTGCTTATTCACTTGCGAATATAAGAAAATTACCAGACAATAAAACAAACTAGAAACCTTTTACAAAAAAACTTCTGATAAACTAAAATTATAGAATTACAATAAGATTTATTGAAACGTTTTTAGATGATGGTTTAAACAGGGCCATTAATACATAATTTCTATTTCACACCTTCCAATACATTAAAATGAAATTGTAAAATTTGAAAAAAAAATACTAAGTTGTTCTGTTAGGAAGAATGAAATCTGAAACTATAAAAAATCGGTGTACATTTTAATTATAAATGGGGAGATGACTAACAATAAAATAACTAACAACATAGCACTAAAGATGAGTAACAATTTGATAAAATTTATTACTAAGATATATTATTATTTTTTCCACTGATATTAACTAAACTATACTAGACATAATTCCATACAAAGATGACAAACTCTAGCTTAAAAAAAATTATAAATAAGTGCTTTCTCAAATTCGTTTGAATAGTTTTAAAGAATCCGATGAGGGATTAATTAATATATACAGAATAAACTTAGAAGTTGTTGAAATTAGCAGCTGTATCACTTGCCTTACTTTTCAGATTGCAATCAATTGTTTGTTTTGAAATTCGTTCACTTGTCGGTGACCTACTTCTGCCCGGGTATTGGAAAGTTTAAAGAAACTTATTTCTGTCTTTAAAGAGCCAGCAGCTTAGCTTGTCATTTTTTATAGAAACTATTCTCACTATATATGATTCACGCATCTGTGACAGCCGATAAAGGAGATTTGTTGTTGTTGTTGTAGTTCATTTACGTCGCACTAGAGCTCCACAATGGGCTATTGACGACGGTCTGGGAAACATCCCTGAGGATGATCCGAAGACATGCCATCACAATTTTGATCCTCTGCAGAGGGGATGGCACCCCCGCCTCGGTAGCCCAACGACCTGCGCGCGAAGTCGAGCACTTTACGGTAGCACAGTTTATCGAGGACCAATACCGCACACCCTTGGTCCCTACGCAGACTGATCTAAGTGGGTCACCCACCCGCACACTGACCGCAGCCAGTGATGCTTGACTTCGGTGATCTGCTGGGAACCGTGTCTTAATGATCAGTCCACTGCCGGACCCGATAAAGGAGAAGAGAGCCAGAGTAAAAGATTATTCTCTCTGTTTGCAATCTTTACGCATGGAAACAAAATCACATTCGAATGAGAACCAGAGCGGTGCAAAATAATTTTCTCCGAAAAACTCGCCCATCAAATTTTTGGTCAAATGCGGAGGAATTTTTTTTTTATCTGAAAGAGTCGACGTCAAATTTTGATTGTTGTTCATTTACATCGCACAATGGGCTATTAGCGACGGTCTGGGAAGCATCCCTGAGGGTGATCCGAAGACATGCCATCACAATTTTGATCCTCTGCAGAGGGGATGGCACCCCCGCCTCGGTACCCCAACGACCTGCGCGCGAAGTCGAGCACTTTACGGTAGCACAGTTTATCGAGGACCAATACCGCACACCCTTGGTCCCTACGCAGACTGATCTAAGTGGGTCACCCACCCGCACACTGACCGCAGCCCGTGATGCTTGACTTCGGTAATCTGCTGGGAACCGTGTCTTAATGATCAGTCCACTGCGGGACCCGATAAAGGAGAAGAGAGCCAGAGTAAAAGATTATTCTCTCTGTTTGCGATCTTTACGCATGGAAGCAAAATCACATTCGAATGAGAACCAGAGCGGTGCAAAATAATTTTCTCCGAAAAACTCGCCCATCAAATTTTTGGTCAAATGCGGAGGAATTTTTTTTTTATCTGAAAGAGTCGACGTCAAATTTTGATTGTTGTTCATTTACGTCGCACAATGGGCTATTAGCGACGGTCTGGGAAGCATCCCTGAGGATGATCCGAAGACATGCCATCACAATTTTGATCCTCTGAAGAGGGGATAGCACCCCGCTTCGGTAGCCCGACGACCTGCACGTGCAGTCGAGCACTTTACGGTAGAACAGGCTAACGAGGGCCAATTCCGCACACCCTCGGTCCCTACGCAGACTGCTCCAAGTGATCACCCACCCGCACACTGACCGTAGCCAGTGATGCTTGACTTCGGTGATCTGCTGGGAACCATGTCGTAACGATATGTCCACTGCGGGACGTCAAATTTTGACTAAGCAATATATATATTGATATTCGCGATTGCAGTACTCAAATCATCGGCAAACGACCAGTTCGCGGTTCCATGTCTTGACCCTCCCATCTCCTCAGTTGTATGGGAATGAATTACATTTTTTCTGATTTAATTGACAAAAATATTTTCTAAAATTTCCCTGTTTTCTTTAAAAACTAGATTTAATGCAGTTATGAGTTCTATATAGTTTCCTAACTTATAGTTTCCTTCCTTCTTCCATGACTATTCACACGCTAATGGTCAAAGCAAGCGAAGTGTTGCTATAGATAGAGAGTTCTGTTTGGAGCCACCTGTAGTCCATTTTGATCGCTAATTATTATTGCACGAATTTCGAATTGGGGTTATTTTTTTGACAAATTCAATTCGCGGCAACTCCATCATAAACCAATCTCGTTTAAAGATCGGTTTTAGCAAAGAAAGAACATAGAGATAAGAGATAACAGAAATTTTAATATGTAATGTCAATTGACAAAACAGCAAGTGAAATAAATATATAGTTAAACAAACAGTTTACTATATCTATTAGACTGAAAGGTATGGAGAAGAAAAGCAATTTTCTTTATTTTCGGTTAATTAAAATCACAAGTTCAGTATTAGTTTCAATATCATTAAACATTTTATCAGTCAAACGTATAGTCGATGATAACCAATCAAAAGGAACTTTATTATTAGTTAGTGTCAGGGGTGATTGTGAGCCCAACTCAAAAATCCTGAAAATTTCTTTTGAAAAAATTACTATCTTTATAAATTTAAATCATTGGAAGTTTCAAAACATGATATTCTAAATGAATTAAATGCAGCATAATTTAAATGAATAATTATGCGTAAGTTTACTCTTATCTCTAATCACATTTATTATTCTACCAGAAAAAATATTTACAAATGAAAGAGATGCCAAGTATAAATTCTAGTTCTAATATTTTTAAATAAAATATACAAGAATAATTTATATATAAATGTGAACGACGATTTCTTGAAACTTCTGTACTTTAGAATTCCGGAAACTTTTGGATTACGGTTAGCAAAAAATCCAGAATTTTTCCGTGAAAATAAGACAAAAGGAATTTACGGGATAGAATTAAAAAATAATAACAACAAGAATAACAATAATAAAATCTATAAATAATCTGGGTATAGTTAAAGTTAAATCAAGATGTCTGGAAGTTAAATTGCTATAAACATTTAAAATCCAATATATCATCCATTTAAAAAATTAATTATGGGAAAGGTAAGCATTAATAAGATTGCAAAACTTAATCAAGCAATACTAATTTAATTAATAAATAAAATCAAAACCAAGGATCAAACCATTCTAAAAAGAAACTTAGAAATATATAAACAATTCATATTTAATTAAAATTAATATATAGCTATATCATATAGAATAAATAATCAAAAAATAATGCTTTCTGATAGAAACTGTTGCTTAATTGTTCATAACAGGCAAGCAAAATAAAATAAAATTATGATAAAAATGTAATATTGATAATCCAAAGCTTTAAATTATCCTAAAACAAAACAAAGCTGAAAGAAAATGAAAAATAAAAGTAGAACTTAATCAATAAAAAAAAAGAACAACTTTTCAACAACAAAGGCAATAAAAAAGTAAATCAATAAAGATATTACACAAATAATCTGCATCTATTTGAAAAGAAATCATATTCAATCAACTGATAATTCTTTGAAAGAAAGTTTATAAGAATAAAAGGGGGGGGGGAAGCAAAAAAACTATAAAAATGCAATTAGTGAAAACCTTATATTTAAAAAGAAATTTAACCATAAATAAGATGAATAAATAGATATAAAATGTAAATTATGATGGTGAAATCAATAAATAAAACTTATTTTAAAGATTAATACCAAACAAACACAGAAAGAAACAAACAAACATCTAAGTTAGTTGATGTTATTCATATAATTGAAGCTAAGTCAAATTATAATAAACTAAAGATTTATTAAAATCACTAAATTAACTAACATAAAACAAGATTAAGGATTACAAGCAATAATATTCCATACCTAATTATAAGAAAAAAAGAAAGTAAAATACAAAGAAAACTTATTAATCAAAATAAAACACTTAAAAATTACCAAACAAGAATGATAGTTAAAAGCTAATATAAAAACTAAAATCCCGGACAAGGCAGGATATAAGGAGATCAATTGAATTAAAAAAAAAATAAATTTATCCTTAAACTAATGAATAAGAACTGATTGATTGAGAATAAAATTTATTGAGAATGGAAAAAAAAAGGAATTTAAAACGTAGTGGTTTTAGAAATGTATCACTTGCAAAAAGAGGAAGCAGCTATCTGCGTCATGAAATATCCTTCTCTCTTTAGTAATAAATAATTGTATGTTTAGGCAAAAACTATGTTTTGTTTTTACTTCTTTTACCAAACAAAAAATATAATAAAAGTAGACCATTTTTAACCAAAGGTTATGTGATTCTACATCTGGCAAAACTTCTTGCAGATGTGACTTGATATGGCATCCATGAGGATTCAGAATTCATTCAATTAAAAATATTGTATCTTTATTATATATCAAATAAATATAGCAGATGATAAAAACACATTTTGTTTACATAAATAATACATTATTTAAAGTGAAAAAGCAATAAATTATAACCAAAATTGAAAAACAAAAGTGGAATAAAAAAAAATAAAAACCTAACAAGTCATTAAACTAACTCTAACATCCAATTGACAACACTTAATAAGGATCAGTCTGTAAAAAAAAAAAGTTTTTTTTTTTTTATCCTCTATCAGGGTGCATTGCCTAATTTTACAATAAAAAATAAGGCTGACCCATTCATATATCCACAGATCGCAATTTAGACCAGAACTTGAGAATGATCAATCTCCGCTCCAGTACTCCCAGAGGTATAATTTGTTATAGGAACATAGAGGACTTTGTGTTCGACAGATTTAACATGCACAAGCCGCCATTTACTACATGGGGAGTCTTCGGCAGGCTGGATTCGAACTCCTGTCCTCACGGCTGTGAGTCAAGTGCCCTGTCAACCAGGCTATCCCAGCCTGAAAGTTCTTCATGCATATATATAATCAAAAAACAAAATAATTTTCAAAGACTTTACATGATCCTGACAAAGCACTTTCTTTCATTATATTAGCCACCATAAAGACAATTTATACAAAATTTTAAAGATATATTCAATGACTCATTCTTTTTTCTAAATTCTTAATTACTTTACATAATTATGCAAAAAAAATTTAATTCAAAATTATAATTAATTTAACTATTATTTAAACAGGTAATTGGGTGTATGTTTTATATTTAAATAAAAGTTATTTATAAAAGCATATTCAACGAAACATTAACAAGATTAATATTACTGATCACACAGAATTTATCAACATGTGTGAAGAATTAAGCAAACTGAAAATAGTTAGTAAACTCATATTGCAAATGTAAATTCTTGAATGGCCCCTAATAAATTTTTATTACTTGGTTCAGTATTTCTTTAATGAAATGATTAAAAAAAATTCACATTTTGAAATGTTAATACAATGAGTATTGAAAAACAGTAAATTATTATATGGTCCCTATACTCATTATATTTAACAAATCCAAGACAATTGAATTTTTTTAGTTCAATTTTTTTAAAACAAGAGATGAATTAAAGTTTTTCTCGAATGACATATCTGAATAACACAAGAATTTTTACTGCATTTAAAATAGTGAAAGCCCCTCACGTCATACTTTTTTAAAATCTTGCCTCTACATTTTATTCCGTTTTCACAAACCAACTAAAGAGTACTGAAAATTTTAAAAGTAATAATACAATAACAAAAAGTAATAAGTAAAAAAAATAATAAAGTACAATAAAAGTTTGAAATGTGTTTTCTTTTTTGCAATCAGTGGATGGTCTCTCGAGTAAAAAATCTTAGGAATAAAAATGTCACTTAATTTTTTTTTTTAATAAATAAAATGAATAATATGGGTTTGGAAACTTTGTGATTCTTTATTGCTCTGGGGACCCACATGATAAAACGTTATTAGTGAATGATCCCCAAGTTCAAGGATTATGGCTTGGATATAGGCCATTAGCTTGCCAGTGACAAAAACAATGGCGCTTTACCAATGCACCCTGTCTATTGTGCAAGCACAAATTGTAAATAGAAAAGTGAAATCCCAAAATTCAATAAGAGGTCTAATTCCATGACGATTCCCGATTTTGGGGTAAAGTTACGTTTTTCCCTGCAAACTACTGGTTTCCCCCCGATATTCCTCCTGCTTACAAAGCCTGGCATTAGAAATTTTAAGACGTGACCTACAATTTTATCATAAATCTAAATTTTTTTTTCTATTCTTTCCATATTTTAAATATGTTATGACAAACAAAATCCTTGTAGTAATCACTTAGTATAAACTAAGCTAGCTGAAAACAGGCTGCTGAAACAAAATAAAAAATATTGAAGATCTTTATCTTCCCTAAAACAGATGACAGAATAAATAAAAAAAGCAGTAAAGAAGCAAGAATGTCTCAAATTTTTTGCCCAATTCACTTCCGAACTAAAATTTTAAAAAAAAATATATTATATCTTACTGGCTACATATATTGGTCCACTTATTATATAACACCACATAGTATAGCTAATTTATTTAAAAACTATTTAAATAATAAAAATAACACAATAAACTTGTAATAAATAAACCATTTATTTTAAAATTTTAAATATAGAAACATATTGATTTGAAGATCACATATTTCTTAATCATTTGAAATATTTACAATAAATTTCGAATCAACAATATATAATAAAAACCATGCCAGATGGAAGAGTTATATATACAAAGAGGAACTATTAATATAAAATGTAACAGATGAGTATAACTTTCAATGGAATAATAATTTAACACCAATAGAAACATACAGCGATAAAAATGAAGCATAAAAATAGGTACATATCACAATACTTTTCACTACATCTTCTCATGTAAAAGATTTTTCAGTCTTCTTAATTCCAGGTGGCAGTGAATATTAAAACTAAAAAGTTGAAAAGAACAAACTATTATAACTGAAAATTAATTCATAAGCATAATCAGAAATAAAATTATAATTATTGCATGCACATTGTATTGCATCATGTAAGTGATAAATGTGACTTGAGTATTCAATTTTGTAAGTCATAAATCAAATGTAATTTGTATTTCAATTAAAAACTTGTATTTCCACTTCAATTTTTTAACTTTATTATATTTACATAAAGTAGAGAAATGTATTTTTTTCCTAATTATTACCCTCCCACTTTCTGTTTACTGATAAGCACATGTAATGCACTACCCTCTAGAAATCAAAAAGAAAACAAAATCAGCGTGCTGCCATTCTACGTTTGATTGGCGGCAGCTTATTGAAAGCCACCAATTTTTTCCCATGCACGGGAGAAAATACAGAATTTGTCCTGTAATCTATTAAAAAAAATGCCTTTTTAAAAGGAAAGAATTACCGAATTTTTGATAATTAAAGATTTTGATAATTTAAATATAACCAGTTTTTCTCAAATTAAGGCTGTTAAAATTTTATTCTACGAATATAAGCCTAAATATATGCATATTTATTTTATCTTTTCAAACTAAATTATATTCTAGAATATTAAAAATCGCTCATGAAAACAAGTAACTGCTTTGCACATAAATCATTAAAAATCTTCCTTTATAGAAGAGTTAGAATCAAATTAATACAACCCCAAAATTTTGTGATTTATGCCTCTACAAACATACTAAAAACAATGATTGAACGAAAAAACAAAAATGAGGAAAGCATAATCTTTAGCGCTCATTTATTAAAAATCACTAAAGTTTTTTCATTAAGCTCTTCAGATATGTATCACTTGTAAAAAGAGAAAGCTGCAAACTGCTTCATAAAATAATGGTTTGCTTTTAGTAATAAATAATTGTATGCTTAAGTATAAACTATCTTCTGCTTTTATTTACTGGGGTCTGTCCAGACATTTTGTGAAAGGTCCGTTTTTGTAAAATAGTGAAAAAATTACTCTTAATTTGCGAATATAAAATAAATGTTAAGTAACATTCTTTCAACCAGGGTTCCTGCGTTTGTGAATTTGTGCAGATAGGGTTTTGTTATTGCAAAAAACTCTTTCAAGGAATTTTTAAATTGTAAAGAGATACAAGATTATGCTCAACACTGTAAAATTATAATTAAAAAAAATTACATTTTAAAAGATAAATAGCAATTGTTGCTACTAAATTAGAGATGCAACATACAAAAATTTGGTATTTAGCCTATACTGCTGAAAGCAGAATATTCATTTAGGACGAATAAAGCAAGAAGCGTCTGCCGAAGACAAAACTTAGTTCATTTACATCTGTATTTCTTCTCCCCCCTTCCTGGGAAGGTTTATTCGATAAACAAAACAATAATGAAGATAAACAAATTTGTGAAGGGTTCGTTTTTAAGTTAAAATATTTTGTGAAGGGTACGTTTTTATGAAAAGATATTTTGTGAAGGGTTCGTTAACAGACCCAAATTTCTTCTAAACAGACCCGTGATTTATAACAGCTGATAATTTTTAATGAAAGCAGATCTGACTTCACATCCAGCAAAACTTGTAAACACCCCTGGGGAATTAGAATTAATTCAATTGAAAAATATAGTTTCTTTATTAGATTTAAAATAAATAAAAACACAGCAGTCGATAAAAAACAAACGTCTTGTCCTTAATAATTAATGCATGATCCGAAATTATAAAACAATAATTTGTCATGATAAATCAAAGATAAAAAAAAGTTGAAAAACAAAAGTGGATTAAAAAACAAACAAACATGTCCATTCTCTCAAAAGGCAGAAGTTTCAAGTTCCTAATTCGGACATCTAATTGACAACACTACAGAAATGATTACGAATAAAAGAATCTTGGGAATACACTTAAATGGTCAGTTCGACAAAAAAAAATATCTGAATTTTTAAAATTCACTACTGAGCAAGTGCAAATTACGGTTGAAAACTGAAGAGTGAAATTCAGCTATTTGATGGGGTGTCGAATTCCTTGACAATTCCCTCTTTTCAGGTAAAATGTTTTCCCCAGACAATTCCCAGACTTTTTTTCGATTCTGGTTTTCCCTGATAATTCCCAATACTCCAGGTGCAAACGAACCCTGTTACTCGCAATCAATGTTTTAGTTTTTGGTTAAATTAGATTTAGCCTTTTTATCATCATGCATTTGAATCATTAAACATTTTTGTTTAGAGCACTTTTCTATTTTTTAGTGTTCTTTTGTTTCTCTACAAGCAGAGAAGAAACAAGTTTCAGAATAGGTTGTTGGATGAGGGAAAGAAGAGATTTTGTTTGCTATTTTTAATTTCTCATCATCATAGTTGGCCAGACAGCCCAATGTGGGCTGGGCCAATGCCTTCCTCTTAAGATTTCTCCATAATGATTCCCGATTTATCTTTGATCTCCAATTCTTTTCATTAATTGTAAGAAAATCAGACTCCGACGAGTCAGCCCATCTTAACCGCGGCCTTACCAGCTTTCTCGTTCCAGTGGGTTTAAAAAGCAGCATCTTTTTAATCATATTGTCATCACTCATTCGAATCACAAGGGACATCTAATTCTTTCTATTTATTTTTATGCATTTAATACTATATTTTTATGTATTTAATAACGTTCCAGCTTCCAATTCTCATATCCAAATTTTGTCAGTGGACTAGCCCTCCAGGTTGGGGGTTTTCCATCCTATAAAAACTTCTTGTTACGAAATCCTTAGAAGAAAAATCCCTGATGAGCAAGAAAGGCATCTTTTGAATATAATTCTAAAGAAAAGAAAAATCTTAGAAAAATGCAGAAATGAAAAGCAAAATTATTTACTTCCCAAAGGAAAAATATTTCTGCAAGAAATCGGTATCGTTCTGCGACAATGTCACCGTGTCGCCACGATTCTGCCAGTAGGGCAATAATTAGGGATAAAATATAATATTTGGCACCTGACCAACATGTAGTTCCAAAAACGCATCAATACCTTTGTTTTGGACGTTCATCATCATGCAATGGCATTTCTGCAACAGAGATGAGTTGTTCTGGATGGAGTGGATAGAGTTCATGGAGATTCTTTTCTAACCTACTACACAAACAATTAACTTCTTTCTTCAAGTTTTTAGATGCATCTAAAAAAAGAACAACAGATATATATAGTTTGGGTTAAAATAAATTAAAGGATGAATTCTTAAGACTTTTGAGTCACACTCTTTTGAGTAGGTACTGTTATGTAAATTCAAAATACATACAAGAGGGCCACACTCGTATCTTTAATTAATGAAATGAATCAAAGTGAGATGAAAATTTTGAGGTGATTAAGCTCTCTGATTGCTAACTGCTCTGAACTCACATGGCAATCTGTAATTAGTGAAAGATCCCTTAGTCAAGGATTGTGGTAATCTAGAAAAAGAATAGTGCAAGAATGCTATCAGCTTGCTAGTGATGATGACAATGGCGCCTTATTAGCGAAATAATTAACAAGAAAGAGAAAGAAAAAAGTTTTCTCGCTAACATTGAAAAATTTGGCAATATTTAGTCATTGGTCCTACTAAACAGAAAAATTCTAAAAAAATCTTTGGTTTGATTTCAGACGGCAGAAGATGAAGACTCAAATTGAGAGTCTGTCACAAAACATAGCAAAGTTGCATGAGTAAGTGCAGGAATCCTTTCTACTGAATCCAGCTCAGTGTAAGCGCATGAGGTCATTCATGCAACATGTGAAATGATTGGCGCCCTTCATACATTGAAATAAATTGCAGAAGAACTTGTGAAAACATTGTACCAAACATACCACGCTTTTTGAAGAATTCATAGCAAAGAAAAAAAATCGCATTTTGGAAAAGAGAAAATTAAGCACTTTTTGCAGACAGTCAATGAAAAAGTATCTTTAAGGGCTTTTAAAAAGCGAAAATCAAAATTCATAACCTGTAAGTACTTTTTAAAAATATTTTAGTCCTTTTTCACTTATATTTAATTATTACCTTAAGTAAAACTACATTTTGTAAGTAAACATATAATTTAAACCCAAAATTGCGTCTTGTTTATAAAAAAAAGTTTTTATGTAGGGAAACAATTATTTCAAAAAGGGGAAGAAATGACAATTAACTGGAAAAACATCTTTTTTTTTGTTAAATAGAATGTTGGTTTTCATTTGCAAGCAATTAGGAAAGTCATCCATACATCAGCAAACACGACGCATAAAAAAATTTTAAAAATGCTCAAAAACGGCCATGTGCACAATGAGTAAGGAATTGTCGAGAACCAGCAGTATAGATGGAATTCAAAAGCTGGTTGGATACGATACGACGAGTGCTCTCATTTGAATGAAATGCAAAATAGATCAATGTATAAATAAAATTAATTAAAAATAATTGATTTTATAAATAATTAATAACATTAATTAATAATAATTTCATTTTAATGGATAATTAGAGTCCATGCCTTACTTTTAATTTCTGTGGTTTGAAGAATAATAATGTAAGATGAAAGCCACATCTCAGAATCTTTTTCACATTTAGAAAGGTGTTTATCCAGATGATGGAAGAAACATCTAAAAAGAAAACAATATTCACATGTAACAAACAAACTATATACACTATAAATGAAAGTAATTTGAAAAATGGTACTTTTTAACATAAATGAGTGTCCAACAATTGCCCAGGATTGTCAGTTTATAGCATCCTCAGAGTAATGCAGATAATTTAATAGGGAACATTTAAGTATTTACTTGATAGGGGAATTAAGTATGCAATTTAAAATCCTTTCACATTTAAAATATTTCAGTTCAGAAAATATTGTATTCATTTTAATGTGCCTCAAATTATGCTTTGAAATAATTGTCAACATGGAGAAGATGATAAGTAAGTTGTTGCACAAGTGAGAAATAACAATGGTAGCATTAAAATAATTATTTTGTTGTTGTTGCACTTTTTCCATTTTAAAAAGTGTTTAAATATAGAAGTTCTACAATGATGTAATATTTAACCACATTAAACAATAAGTGATAAAGTAATATTGTAAACCCCAAATTAATTAAAAAATAAAAAATATTTCATAAAAACACTTTTAAATAATTTTTACTTTTCAATAAGGAATTCAAAAAATTTCACTTTAGCTCCATAAATATAAAAAAATAGTAATATTAATAATAAAATAATGAATTGGGAGGATGGCATGGTCATCTTAAGGAACATAAGACTGTATAAAAAATTGAATAAAATTAAGAAAATAAAATAATAATAAAACAAAAATTTCACACTAAGAGCATTGTTACATAAAAAAAAGTAAATATAGTAAACTTATGTGACTTACACCAAGATTTTCTGTTTATAAAACATAGTAGTTAAAAGGAAAGCACTTGATTTGGAAATTTGTATTTTCGAAAATGGCTCACAACTCTATAAGAAAACATAAAAATATAAATTGATTTTGAAAAATGACAACTTTTGAAAAGCTCAATTTTAATTAAGACTACAAAAGATAATGTTTTTATCAATTCATCGTAAAACTATATTCTCAATATAAATAACAGTACAAAAATTAATATTTACATTAATTTTCTGTAGATAGTTATCTGTGTTTAAAGGTTTAATTGTCACAATGTGTGGCCTATATACCGATGCAGCCTACACGAAGAATTCATTTCCTCCAACCCACGCATGAAAATTTTGCATTCATAGTCAATTTACTTAAAAACATATTTTGACAGAACTTTTTTGAAAATTATGAACCCATTTCGTAATGCTTGCTCTGAAAACGCTTTTTAAATTATTTCTTAGTTTCTTATTAAAATACGGGGTGATAAAAGGAGTTTTCAATCGACGAAAAACAGTATGACACCATCTACAAAAAGGGTTAAAAATTCTGATTTGTAAATTACAAATAAACTAGTACATTATATTTTTTACTCTCTTCTTATCTATAATATCTTCATAAATATTTTATCTTCTAATTGTCACAAAATTAGAAAATAAAATCTTTTTATCCATGCATCGATCCAATTTCTGCAAATACTTTTAGTCTAAATTCTTTCTTAGTTATTTTTCAACGCTGATTAAAAATTTCTGTCCCTTTTGCTAACCATTGTACACAATATACAAGAAATAAAAAATTACCTACTGCCGATTAACTGATGTAAAAACTGTCAGAGTGCAGCAGAAAAAAAAGATTAAATTTTAAAGAAAGAAAATAAAATTTAAAAATAGGAAAAAAAAATGAGGTTCTGCAAAACAAATCCCCCAAATGAGTTAATAGAAAATATCACAGATGAAATAGAGCAAGATTTCAAATTGTTATTATATTTTAATCGGGACATAAGCTTCAATCTCAGAAATTAAACTCATTTATCTGTCAATGAAATTTATATTTCATTTTAAAAGTACGTTATATTTAATATTTTGGATCGCCTTTTCTTCGAATCGATTTCAGCAATATTGTTTTCCGTGGTGTTTACTTCAGCATTTCCTTTATCACCTAAAAAAACTGTTTAAATATTTTACTATTTTTAATCATCTGTAAAGTTATTTATCACTGATATACATGTTTCATAATAATTAATTGAAGCGTAAAATTCTAGAACGAAAGATTTTGTCGTATCAGAAATGTTTCCTTTTTAAATCAACTGCTATCGTAGTTTCTTTATTTTTTTTCAACGAGTTATGATACGATGATATTTGAAATTTTAAGTGATATTTTTTGCAGGTGCAGCATGTACGGCGTATCTACTGAATATTACTATAGTTGTACAAGATATGACAAAAGTTAGTGATTTTATTAAATAAAACTTCTTGTAATTCTCAAAAGTTTTCTGCAAATCTCTAGAGGGAACAACACAGAAATTTTGAAAAAACTGATATTATAATTACTAGGAATTTGCACTGTTTTCATATGGAAGCAGATTTATTTCAAGTAAAAAAATATTTGACAGAAGTATAGAATAGAACCTGTCATCACAAGAACCTGTTTCCTAACTAGATTTGCCCAACTATCTATGAAAGAAGCTCTGTAGCAGCTTGTATGATTGCCAGAGTATCTACTAGATTGCAAAACAGTGACAGTGAAACCACTAAAGTAACAACCACTTCTTATTTAAAACGATTTTTTAGGACGGCATAGAATTTTTTTCCATTGTCATTTTGTTGAGAAGAAATCATTAAGACCTTTCAGAGTGACCATGCAAAAAAGTTACACTAGGATGCACAAATAATCAAAGTAAAAGGAAAACAGAATATGTTAATAGAAATGATCCCTAAGAACAACCAACCTGAATTAACGACTGTGGAATAAATACCCAAAAGTTTAAAAAAAACTCCTCTAACAATTTGTTTAGATTGTTTCTGTTTTACAAATTTTGATAGATTATGCCTAGCAAATTTGGTTGAATTAAGAGTAAATGAAATTTCCTCTATTACAAACTACCTATTTACAAAGAATTATTATTATCATATATTATTTGCAATTTCAAGCAAAACATTGAGTAGAAGCTGAAGTCCTTTTCTCCCCATCATACTGCCTACTATTTTTTGATTCAAAAAAATTTGTAACAAATAAAAGATTGCAGGAACAATTGTCAATTTTTGCCATTTTATTGTCGTTAAAGTAAGCTTGCACGAAAGTAGACAAAGATGAACAAAACTTAACTGCTGACACTGTTTTACCAGCAATGAGAATTTACAGTTAAATACACTAAAAATTTGCAGAAAAAATAGTCATTTGACTGGTCTTAGCATTTTTTATTGCTAAAATTTTTTGCAATTATAAAATGAGAAAAAATGGCAATAAATAAAGGAAGTAAAATGTGAGTAAATAAAACTTTTTGGGAAAAGAAAACTTCCACAAGTCTAATACATTCTAGCTTTTAATTTAATATAAATATTTACACAACAAACCTCAAAAATAGCATCTTGACTCTCAACTACTGTTTTCCTAATGCTAGATAAAATATTTTTTACAAAACAAATCATGACATCAACTTTTTTCAACGCACCGTATAAGAACATCGTGATGAGGGAGTTTGATAAATTGCTCTGAAGTTCTCGAACACCCTAGGAAAAAAAAAATAATAGAACATAATTTCAACCAGAATAAATAAATTCTAGCATTTTCAAATGTGAAACTTTTAATAATGAATTTTAAAAAAAATGATAGATTAAAAAAAAAAAAAGATTTATTAATGATTATTAAAAACGATTAATATATTAATGAATATTGAAATGAAAATCTTAATGATTTATTTTTTTAAAAAAATCAAGTGATTTAAATCAGACTAATCCTGCTGTTTACCAAAGCAGATTTTTGCACGCACTTCGCTTTTTATTTTTGAATTATTCTGGGTTTTTTTTCTCGTTTTTTTTTCAATATTAAAAAAAAATCTCTCGCTGAAGAATAGGGAGAATAGGAAATTTATGTATTTATTAGGGTTTAACAAGTAATTATTAAAAGGTTTTTTTAAATTATTTACTGAAGACTGTATTTTTGGTATAAGTAGTTCTGATTTTACTTGGTTTTTTTCTTTATAAACAATAATAGATATTTTATATATATACTAGTGGGCTGCGCCTCCTGCTCGCTAAAGCTCGCCAAGCCCCGAAAACTGCCATGCAATCTTATATTGTTTGCTTCGCAAACCAAGCTCGCTACTAACTTAAGTACATTGCAAATCCATATAAAAACTTGTTTTTTAAAAAATTACATCTTTTTAGTAAATACTAAGTCATTAAAATAAATTTGAATTCAAATAAATGACATGTAATTCGTTAAACCTATTAGAAATGTGCTATAGTATAATTCGTGATATAAATAAAAAATGGTCAAATAAATTCATAATATATAAATTCGGGAAAAAAAGCGCTCGAGACAAAATGCTAAAATAGAGATCTATCGACAAAGACTACTCATTTCTGCCTAGCTTAATAGTATGAGATTGGCGCAGCTGGTGCTCTCTGGTTATTTCAGTTTCCGTTTTTAAAAGAGCTATATGTTGAGCCACCTCAGCTAGATTTGGCATGTGACATTTTTAGGGGCAATCATTCGTCGATTCGCCGTGTAAGAGAAAAAGTAACGTAAACAAAACAAAGCAAACGTTGCCACCGGCGAAAAAGAAATACAGCCAAAATTTGGGAGCCAGGTAAGAGAATTATATAGATAAAATGTTGAGAGAGATATATGTTGAGAATCACTGATCTAAGTAACGTGTAAGAGAAATAGATCACAATGAAATACAAAATGTCCTAAGTATTAAAAAAGTCCTAAGTATTAGTTTCCTCACAGGATTAAACAAAAGTTAAAAATACTTGATACAAAATACTTCAATAGTCTCGCAATTAAATAAAATAGAATAGAGAAGTTAGAGAACATTACTTACATGAGTGGATAAGGCATTTACAAAATCATCACTAAGGCAACAGATAAATTTTCTAAAACAATCAGATACTAAGGTGATAACTTTATCATCTTTCTCAACAGAAAACGCATAAATTCCCATAGTGATATATTTAGTCAACAGGTTGGACACGTGTGCAATCATGGAAGGTCCATCTTCTGTTTAAAAATTAAACATAAACTTTAAATATCATCAATTCGATTAGATATCAAAATAGTTATCTAAATAAATACACTTAATGAGAATTAATTGAAATCCCTGTGGCAAAATTTTTTCGAGCTATCTACGACACAAAACTCTCTGGCACTAATATCTTTCTGCAAGATATTTTTAATAATAAGAAACTTATATGTTACTAATTTAAAAACTTTAAATTTTTTTTAAATTGAACTTGTAATAATTTTTTATTCTAATATTATGGGTGATATTCTCTCATTTTGTGGGGGGAGAACACACAAATTATTTCGTTCCTGTGACGCAAATAATTATTACAATAAAAAATAATTAAAAATCATGAAATCCGTAGTAGTAATTGCCGAAAAAAAGAGAGACGAAATCTCGTGATTCAGACTCTTCAAATGCGTATTTCGTTTCGAGATTACACTGTTGTAATAAGCATTATCGGATAAAGAACATCAGATTTAAAAACTATGGTGAAATCAATAGCAATAACTACCATAAATTCATGAGAATTAATGCCTTAAATACTCAAATGCATGATTCAAATTTTCGATATTGTCTGAAATATATTGGAATATTTAAAATCCACATGAAAATCAATATCAATAACTGTGGAAAATACAATCGAAACATTACATTGATTTACGATACTATCGGCGCAAATTGAGCTCATCAAAAAGTGATTAAAATGCAATTTTCGATCGAATTTAACATTTACCTCATAGAATTAAAGTCTGGAATATGTAACTCTGAATAAATTGCAACTTGACTATTCAGTACACAAGAGAAATCATAGAATTTCGCATATTTGAAAATGATGGATATTGAAGTGCTGAAAATCTTAATTTTAATACAGTACAGAACCTTTTATCCGGTATCCAAAAAACCGTGAAAATTTTTTCTCGTCATTTTGAACTAAAGAGGATTGAGGAAAAGTTTGGAAATTCCAGTCATCCTTGAGGTTGAGTAATGGGAAACATAGTTTTTTTAAATTTCTTTATTCTTGTGTGTCAAGAGTATATCTCTTTCTTAAATTTGAAGATCTTTTGAAATGGGCAGGGAAGGGACAAATTTTCTATTTCTCACATGTATCGCTATTCTAACACTGTGATATTTCGATAAATCATGATGTTTCGTTACACTAATATTTTACATTTCATATTGTGTAATTTGGAATTCTTGCCCTTTTTGACTTTTGAGGCAATTATATTCTTGTAATAAACTCAATCCTCAATTACTTAAGCTCAGTACTCAGTTATCAACAAAGAATTGCATTTTTTTTTAAATCAATAAATCTCAACAGTGAGATGATACATCGAAAACAAAACAAAAAAATAAAAATAAATTTGAATAAATTATGCAGGAAGGGGGTGGGCTTGCTGCAAAAATAAGTAAAATAAGTCATTATGAATATAAAAATTTTCATAAACAGAAAAATAAAAACTTTGCTGATGAACTGAGAAAGATTGGAAACTTAAGAAAAGCTGACGCTAAAATGTGCATAATTTTCCAATCAATTTAGTTCATTACTTTCAAAAATAAAGAAAGGAAAAAGCTCTTTGAGCGCACTCGGAACCATTGTTGAACTATCGGAAATCATCGCACGCGTAGACACCGATGTCAATGATTCATCGGGATACATGGCACGTATGTTGTTAAATCATAATTCTTGATGCTTCTAAAAATTGCCAATCCAAAACTCGGATCAGCGATGATTACACAGCATCGATATTTCCGATAAGCTACAGTCAATCAAACATAAAGGAAATGCATGTTTATTTAAAAGGGAGAATCGCATTATACATGCTTATCAGTGAACAGAAGGTGAAAGAATAATGAAAAATATATAAATCACGATGTCTTATAAACATAATGAAGTAAAAGAAGTGAAGTGGAAATGTAAACTTTCAACAGGTGCATAGCAAAAATTTTCAACAAAAAATAAGCACCTTTTAAACACTTTTCAAGCACTCAAAAATAGCACTTTAAAAATATCATAATTAGGCAGAGTTGACAAGTTTTTGACAATTGACGGTTTCATCCGTCATGTCAAAAATCACCTTTTGACATAGTTTTGACAATTGTCAAAATCCCAAAATTTTGGCATAAGGATAATTATTATCTATTAAAAATACGAAGTATTTTTAAAATATTAATTCAAAACTAATTGAATCATGAAACTGAGAATCTCTTCCAAAATGTAACAGAATTGAACATGAGAGGGCAAAAACCCTTTCCCACTGAATCCAGCTCAGCATATGCACACATGGACCCACAAGTGTTTCATCAAACATGTAAAACGAATGGTATTTTCATATGCTACAGACGGATGGCACGCCGAAATATATTGGGTTTGAATTAATTGTGAAAATATTGGATAGAACAATAGCATTTTGCATAATTCGTGGCGAAAATGAATATGGTAAGGAAAAAATATCTCATTTTGGAAAATGGGAATAAAGTACTTTTTAAAAATACCCTATGTAAAAAACACCCTTAAGGGCTTTTAAAAAATGAAAATCGAAAATAAGCACTTTTTAAAAACGCTATGCACCCAATTGGAACATGAAAATGGCAAAAATATTGCTATTTTTTATTCAATAATAAAGTAGGATCATAGTTGTGTTTTTTTTCTTCTCGTTTTCCTGCCATTTTGAACTAGAATGACTGAGTCATCCTTGAAGCTGATTCTTGAGTTTTTTTTAAGTTATCCTTGAAGCTAATTATTTTTTCTCCTTGTTCAATCAAAGGTTAAGCAAGGGCAGACTTAGATAAAATGAAGAGAACCCAAAATCTTAAATAAAAAAATGTTCTGCTAGGAAATAATTGATTCTTGTAAGTTTGTTTCAACACTCTCGTCGCTACCTAATTCAAACAAAATTTGTTCAACAATCACTAAATTTATCAAAAGTGTTTTAATTTTTATTTTAAAAATCCTTCTTAGAAAAAAACTGAACTTTGGATAAGACATGTTCTCACTAAGCCATGATTTAGCAGGCCGCACCAAAGGCTTATGCTTAAAAATCTAAGTGTTTTTTTTTTTAAATTTTTCTGCCAGGTATTGCTAAACATTTTTTAAAGAAACAGCAAAAATATTGCTTTTAATAACTAGGCCGAGCTTAAATGAAAACTAAAATAATTAATGACAAATTGCATTTCTGGTAGAAAGATCAAGGCTAAAATTCCGTAATATAATGTTATTCAATAAACAAAACAAAAGAAATATCTATTTCCGATATACTTTTTACCATAGAAATAGATATTTCTAGCTCAAAAAGACAAGTTTTTTTTTTTAAGTGATATTGTTTTTTAAACATCTAGGATATTTTTTTTTTATAGAATTCTTCAAGGGACACATTTTTTTCCTTTACATTCAAAAATATGCATTAACCTTGAATTACATTACTTATATGGTATCTTAAACTAACTTACATTAATCAATACTGCATAGTAATGTACATACTACATAGAGACAGTGGCGTAGTTTTAATGCATGTTCAGGGTGGGTTATCGGTTACCTCCTTCTAATATATATATTCTAAATATTGAAATAGGCTGGGACAGCCTGGTTGGCAGGAAGCTGGACATACATTTGTGAGAAAGGGAGATCGAATCCTGCTGGCCGAAGACTCCTCGTGTAGTAAATGATGACTGGTGCTCTATAAATCTGTCGGGTCACTAAGTCCTCCATGTCCCCATAATAAATCAATACCTGGGGGGGGGGGNGGGGGGGGGGGGGTTACTGAATTAGAGATTGATCATTCTCTGGTTTAGGTCAAAATTACGATCTGTGGATGAATGAATGAGTCCACCCTATAAATGGGTGTAATGTATGAGTGCGGAAGAAGTCGAATTCTTAGCCATAGATCGCTCCCCCTCTGGCTTAATGGTGGACAACAACAACAATAAATGCTCAAATTCCATAAAATGAATAATGCAAAATTGTTTTATCTATATCTGTTCAATAGTTCACTACTTACAGTACAATAGTTTATTAATCAAATAATATAAATAATTTCGGAGGGGGTTTTGTCCCCAAAACTACGCCACTGCATAGAAATACACAGAGTAAATTACTGGAAAGTATATTTTAATAAATATAAAGAGCTACAATTAAAACATTACCAGTTTCTATAAGCGTTATAGCAAACCTCAAGTATTTGCAGGAGTATAAACAATGAAATCCTAAGATCACTAATTCACCAATAATTGAGCATAAAACCTAAAAATAAAAATAAAAAATTCAAAAATGAAAACAAAACTTCAATTGCAAACACAAAATCAAAACACATTTTTAGTGACTCTACATAATTAGCCCTCCATAACTTTTCAACCATTGTCTGAATTTCCATTCGGTAAAGTGTTATGATGACGAGGAATCTTCAAAATTATGCAGAACAGTTAGCAAAGCAAAACATTCTTATGCAGAAACACTTCTTTATCAAAGAAGAAATTTTTTTGAAAATATTTGATTTATCCCACTCCCCTCTTAATAAAGAAACTAATCCATATAAAACTGGCTTTTATAATTTAACCACTAAAGGTTTTAAGATTTAAAGCGTCACATTTAATTTCATATATCTAGGAAGATTCAACAAATTTTTAAAAAAATCCCAAAAAGTTATAAATTCTTCTCCAACAGAATTTTTTTTATTCTCCTCTGCATTTGGTTCATAAATATCACTTTAAAACTCTTTTATTGCCAAACTTCATCAACACTCATAAATGCATTTAACTTTCTCGGATTCCTGTTTTCTGAAAGTAGATTAGGCGTAACTGATAAGAGGTTTGTTTTATTGCAAAATTTTTATTAATTCATTCAAATTTTGGCATTAAACCAATGAGTTACACTGGCTTTTGTTAACAATAATTTCATTTACACAATTTTTAAGAAATTTCAAACAGAATTACAAAGTATTTGGGGGTCGATGAACAAAAAAATGTTTGGTGTTTCTTGGTTAAAGAGAAAGAAAGAAGGAAAAAAAATTGCTCACCTTGCATAGGGATACAGATAACTTTTGAAATGAATAGGAAGCTTGATTTTGTTTCTTACTTGACCTGGGAAGATTATTATTTGACCAGGCTAAGCTGCAAAGAGTGTTCTGCATCCATGTGACAACAGTATCCAAAAATACAATGCTTTTGCAATCAAAGTTCTAAATAATAAAAAAAGAATCAGAAATGAAAGAAAAGAACACTGGAATATAAATTATTTTTTTCATTAAGAAAATAATAAGTCGTGTTTTGCATCCATGTGACAACAATAATTAAGAATACTATGTTTTTACATTCAAAATAATAAATAATAATTAGTAATTGATTAAAGGAATAAATCAATATCAATCTTTGATCTTTAAGAAAATAATATGTTGTGTATTTTACAATAAGTTTTAGTTCTATTCTTTTAGAAATGACATTTTTTTTCCTCAAAAAAAAGTTTTATCCGTATATAGATATAATTTTTTTTTTTTGTTTAAAACTTTCTCAACTATTTCTAGATAATTTTTTCTTAAATGCAAGACAGTTTTCCTCCATAGAGATTATTCTTCGTTGTTACATAATACTGCAAATAAATTTTTCATTTAAAATTGTAAAACTTTTAAATACACTTTAAAAACTCAAAAACATAAAAAAACAGTTAACACATTTAGTTACAGAAAAAGGTTTAAAATTGAAGTCGAAGTTTTTGGTATTGTTTACTTAATTTTAAAAAAAATGACACAATTTTCAGTTGGGCTTCAATATTCTAAGGGTCTATTTGCTGGATAAGAGGCTGTAATTCTCAAAAGAAGGAGAACAGCAATTTCGAGCTATAAGATTCTAGTTTTAAAAATCAGATATATGTTACAAAAAATTTTATATTTATTGTGTGACCACAAACAGAAAGAAGGGAAATTAACTTTTACCACATATCATTGTGACTCTGGTAAAGACTGAAGTGGATCGGATCTTTCAGAAAAGGGTTGTTAATTAGAACCATGTTAAATAAAAATAAAGCATGTTAATTAGAACCATACTATGACAAGTCATGTTGGTACAAATCACTGATTCAGATCATAAGTTCGAATCAAATGATTCAGATCTCATTTCAACTTTTGCCATTTGGATCAGTGATTCGAATAACATGACTGATTCAAATGACATGACGAGAACATTTTTCTGGTTTTTGACTGAAAGCATAAATGAGAGGTTTTTGATGTGTAGATAATATAAACTCTACCCTCAAGCATACGTCTGAACTTCTTAATTGCCAAATATATAGTCAATTCTTGTTCATATGTAGACAAATTTTTCTGACTCTTACTGAGCTTAATTGATACAAAAGCAATAGGTTCCCATCTATTATTTTGCAATTGTCTTAAAGATCTACCTACTGCTACACCTGATGAAATGTTAAAAATGCTAAAATCAAGGCTGAAAACTAAAAAAAAAATATGTAGAACAAAGCACTTTTTTTCTAAAAGAAAAAATAGGGAATATAGGACAACTGCAAGGCCAGCCGCAGTGCTGATGAAAAATAACCTCATTGATAAACAGATCGTGGGTTAAACCCCTTGCAGTTGGGCTAACCATGGGAGTTTTCCGTCCCCATATAAAGCAAATGCTAGTTAGTTCCATCAAAAAGTCCTTCACGATAGCTAATTCGTCCCAATGCTTGATTCAAAGCCGTAGTGGCTCAGGGAATAGAGAGTTTGCCTTTCAATGAGGTGACCCAGGTTCCAATCCCGGCGGCAGCTGTTTGATATGAATTCTGCTCCCAGCTCACAGTACTTACATAAAATATCCTCAGTGATAGATGGATTATGGGTTAGAATCTCCCTACCTTCTGGCTAACTGTGGGAGGTTTTGGTGATTTTATCTCAATGTAATGCAAATGCAGGTAAGTTACATCAAAAAGTCCTCCGTGAAGGTTAGTTTGTTCTGATGCTTGATCCAGGAGTTCCCTTGTCTTATGGGTTTGGTTCAAAAGTTGAACTATTGAGGCTATGTAATTGAACACTGATAGTCGTAAACTTAGAGTTGGGTTGGCTGTTTAACGCTGGTTATAAAATGTTAATGATTAATCTAGGAGTTCTTTTGTGTTCTGGGTCGGGTTCAAAATAACAAGGCTACGGAGGTGAACATTAATAGGCGTTAACACAGAAATGTGTCACACCACTTATAAAATAAAACTTTTGAGCTGTTTCAGTACTTAAGTGATTTGAGTCTTAAAAGAAATTACCTCCTGATTCATGAGGGAAACTATCTTCAGTAGAATGTGAAACAAATCTTTCATAAACTCTAATTCAACTTCTGGAATATATTTCAGTTGATAGACTTCAATTCTTTTCTATTAAATGAGATGGAAATGTCATAACAAAAATATTAATAAATAAAAAAATATTATATACAAAATATTTCATACTTACTTTTAGAGGATCAAATAAACCAAGAAAACTACTAAGCTCGTTCATTGAATGCAAGAGAAGGATTCTTTGACACAAAGAATCATTTAAAAGAAATAAAAGGATTTTGGCTCCTAGCTTATGCCTTGATGTGGCAGCTTCATTTTTTGACTGCCCTTTCCTTTTCTTTGTCTAAATAAAGAACATGATTTGTGAAAATTTATAATGAAATTAGAAACAGTGACTTATTACAAAAATATTTGAACATCAACAAATAAATCTGTAAACTAACATTATATAAATCTTAATATTAATATTTTACAATCTGGCAACTTAGTTACGGAAATATTCTTAAATGATTCTTGCAAATGACTGTAAGAGGATAACATCTTTCTATATTCTTCCTTTATATTTTCATTTTCTTGTTTTATTTTGAATTTTTGAGCCGTTTCTTAGTTTCTGTCTCACATGTATCATAAGTAACATGCATGTAATAAATATTATACTGATGAGGAATGTAATATGTTTGAGGCGTTGTAAGACAATTTTAAGTCTTGTAGAGGTGATAAAAAAAGTTAGGGACCCCTGTTATAATCCAGAGTTGAAACTCAGATCTGGAAAAAAAATTCCCCGCGATTTCCCTGTATGTATTATACACAATGCATTAAAAGGAAAGAATTACTGTTCTCTTGAATGAGCTATATTTGGCTAATTATACTAGTTCTAAAAGCTGGAAAAACTGGAGTAAAAAAAGAAAACAGCTGAACATATTTAAATGCTATAGTAAATTAAATAGTTTAGTACAGCTGAAATATCATGGTTAAATATCCCATAGATTACGCTTCACCATTTTTTAAAAGATGAAAATAAGAAACAAAATTTCCTGTGTTTTCCCAGTTTGTAAAGAAAATCTCAAAATTCCCTGTATTTTCCTAGTTAATTTTGGTGATTTTTAAATTCCCTGTATTTTGCAGATTTTCCCTGTGGAGTGGCAACCCACAGACTTTTATGGACTCCTAAGACTTCTATGGTTGGTTCTGACACATTAAGAGGATTTAAGGTTCCACATATTTAAAAGAAATCAATCGAAGAGAAATTAAATAAATTTTCGAAAATTCAGTAAATCAACAATGTTATAAAATAACATACTCTTTTGCTAGGAAAAGCGGGCTGAAAAAAAGCGTCTCTTATCCACTCCTTCAAAAGAGAAAGAAGTTCGCGTTCATGATACTGATTGCACAAACAGCGAATGACATCTGTGTACTCTTCTAGATCTGTTGTTTCCTCATCCATCTCATTCTGAAGGAGGTTGAAGCAAAAGCTGCCCAGACAAGGAAGGTTTTCATATGGCATATGACTACCGAGGTAAGCAACGCTGGGAAAGATTTTAGATCCCTGAAAAGTAATAATGGAATTAACACTAAACATACCATAACCGGTCAAATGACCGCATAAGAACTGTTGCATCGAAACTCTCAGCTTATCGTTATTGCACATCTGACTTCATGACTTTTTCCTATCAATTCCATACAGTTAATATTCTATTACAATTTTTTTTGTATTTTTCTTTTTTCGCAAAATACTTGCCCTATATCTATTTCTACCACAACCGGTCATTTAACCGGGAGAACAATTTCTTGCTTTATAAGGTGATCGGTTAACGATGTAATGCGTGTTCAACATATGGCATTCGATGAGCAGCACAATTCTGCAAAGACTGTTGCGTAGTTAGTTCAATCAGAATAACTGCGCATTCAAATTTCAAGAAAGGACTTAAAATTTTAGATTGGCATTTTTATGTCAGAAAAAGTGACAAAAACTAAATGTTTTGGTAAGTAGCTTATATTTTATTTTGATAGCTTTACTTCATTTCTAACTAACTGTTAGTGTTTACCCATAAAAATGTCGAAAAAAATCAAGACAACACAAGTTCTTGGAAGAAATACTATTAATTATCTAAATAATTATAAGAATTATAGAAATAATAACAATTGGAAGAAATATGTTTGCGGAAAATGCACAATGGAAACACGCTGTATGTGTTAAAAATGCATTGAGCAATGCATTAAAAATTCTTATTCCTTGTGTATGTAATACATAAGAATTGGTAATACACAATTTTGTTTAATTACAATAAAGTATTTTTAGTTTATTTCCTTCCTAACATCCATATTTCATACATTCAATCAAGAAACATAGAGTCTGGTCATTGGACCGGCTTTGGTAGAAATAGGTATAGATTAATTGTTTGCATGTTTAGTGTTAAGTAAATGTGTGATTCTAACAAAATATTCTTTAAAGAATCTCATCTAATCAAAACTGTATCTTCATTTCCCAAATATTTAATCAAAAATCTAGCATTATCAGCCATTTACTTCCAATGTTCTAAAAGCAAAATGAATTTTAGCATTACTGGAGTCTACAAATTCAATATAATACAATTTTTACACCTCCACGAATTCTCTTACTAACCATCTATAAAATTTTCCATATAAAAAATTTTTATATTTTGGATACAGCTTAAAATGTGTGATTAAGAAAATGAACACAGGGAAAATTGCGCTATTTAGATATTCAATTCAAATTTAATAACTAGAGGAATTATGTTACATTGTTCATTTCTTCAATCTGAATTCGTTCATTTGTCTTGCATATAAAAATTTCATGATATTAAAAAATCAATAAAGAATTCTAATTACTACATAAAAAAACCAGTATTAATTTTATTAAAACTATTATATAGGCAGATTTGATTTAAAATTTTTTTTTTGATAAATAAAAAATAAAAATAACAAAATTATTCATTTAAATCAGTTATAAAAATAGAATTATAATAAAGATAAATGACAAAAAATACTGTGGCAAAAGATTTTACAATTTAATGATTAGTTAAAAACAAAATAATTGTTTTATTACCCAATAAATATATTAAACACACTTAGAATTAATTGTCACTGTCAACAGTCAATACTCCAAGAATTTCTAAAGTAGATAATCAATTCCAGGTTTTTTCTCGAGCTCCAGAGAGAGTGGCCTCCTTGCATAACTGCCTTGCTTTTTTATAGACTTTTAAAATGTAAAGATTTCATAAAAAATTGTGTAAAACATAGTAAAGTCTTGCTACTGAATATTTTTTAATATTATCAATTAAAGACAATACTCATTAAGATGTGATAGGATTCAAACAATTCAATTCGATTCAGTATTGGATTACTGATTGATTTTTTTAAAAATTATTTCAATAAAACTTACAGCAGATTCTTTTAATAACTCTTAGATTTGAAGAAAACTTTTTGGAATATTACTAGTTTTGAGAATTTCCAAAACATTTTTTTGACTAATAGAAAGGCAGAAAAATGCAGTTATACTACTTTTTCACTTCTCCCCAAGGTAACAAAATCTTAAGATTTTTCAGAATTGAATCTTCAAACATTCAACGTAATGCAACTGATTGAAACAGCCTTAGTCTGTAACAGGCTGTAATATAATACAGTAGAGAACCATTTATCCGGTATTCAGATAACCGGGAAGAATTTTGCTTGGTTTTCGCGCTATTTTAAAGTACTATAAGGATTATTAAAAAAAAAAAACAGAAATTTGACTCATCCTTAAAGTTGAGTAGAGGGAAAGGGGGGAATTCTTCTCTTCACTTGCCCAGAGGAACTTCAATTCTTCCCCTGACCTTGAAGATCATTAGATCCAGAGGGGGTAGGGAAGGGACAAATGTTTTATTTTCTCCTGTGTTTATTTTCTTTTTCTGATAAGTTGCCATCAATCAAACTTAAAGGAGCGGCAAGCTGATTTTGTTTTCTCTTTGATTTACGAGGGGGTGGGGAAAATGCATTGTACAGGCATAGCAATGAATGTTTGAGTTAAGGAACTTGAAACATATGGCTAAGAGTATTGATTTTAAAGGTGAAATGTGAGATTTATTTAAAATCATCCACTTTAGTTACTTAGTTTTGTTATTTATTATGGTGAATTGTTTTATTATTTCCGATAATGCATCATTTAAGCACCAGTTACATTCATCTATTTGACATCAATTAACAAAACAATATTTTTCTGTTGAATAAATTCTGATTTCTTAGAAATGTGATATCATTAGCAAGTTTTTCTTGATGTGCAATCAAATCTGTTTTCGTTAAAAATAGTCTTTTAATAAAAAAATAAAATAAAAGGAGAAGATTGTTTATTAATTTAAGCATATAATTATTTGTTAATAAAAGCAGGCGATTATTTTATAAAGATAGTAGTTTTCTTTTTTAAATTTTGATTCTGTTTTTCTGATTCCACTGCGTTTTTTTCTTCTTCTTCTTTTAGGATAAATTTCGTACTCAATAAACTAATTCTTTTTATTCATAAATTTTATCATTAAGTTTTTTTTTTTTTAATTCCATTTATATGATATCCTGTCTCTTCCAGGTTTTAATACTTATGTTAGTGCCTTTTTTAAATATCGTTTCCGTTCCATAATTTTCAAGTGTTGTTTTAATTTAGCTTAATAAGTTTTCTTTTCATCCCCTCCAAGTATAATTAGGTATGAAATATATTGCGTTTTTTAATTATTGGTTTTGTTTTATATTAGTCAATTTGGGGATTTCAATTATTATCAAAAAATAAATATGCAAATTTTGTATTTTTAAAACTTGTTTTTCTTGTCTAAATTTGCAAATGTTTTTATCCTCTTAAATGTTATTTTTCCACCATTTTTTTTTTATTTAGGACATCGTTTCGTTTTTTCCCTATTTTTAAATATGTTTAACTTTTTCCTGGTAATTTGGGTTTGATAAAACATCGATTAATGACACTTTTGGCCGATCCAGAAAACCGGAAATTCAGACATCCGGGATAGCGATGGTCCCGGTTAATTGGTTCTCCACTGTATAATAGTGTTTCTCTGGATTTTCCTCTTTATTTTAATCTTTGAAGTATTGTGTTTTTATTCTCATTTTGTCTTCCATTATGCGGCCTTGGGCACAATCAGTTTTTGGTTGAAGCACTGACTACAGAAGGGTTCCAGCATGTTAGCAGTACAGTGCATCCCTCGAAGAAGTACTGTTTTTGATGACAAGCTTATTCTTTAAATTACAATTGTTTTTGTTTTTACAAGTTTTACTATGCTTATTTAAACTGTGTACTAAAGACAATTTTGGTTTTATGCTGCTTTTAGCACTTTTTCAGTTTGACTCATGATATTTAAATTTTTGTTTAATTCTATGTTTTATACTTTTATTAGGTTATCAGGGTGTGTAGCCAAATCTTTCAACAAAAAATAAGTTGCAAAAAATAAGTACTTTTTAAGCCCTCAAAAATGCTTTTAAGCACTATATACATTAAGAAAATTCAAAATAATTTTCAGAGACTTTAAATGATCATGATAAAACAACTAGTGTCTGACAAAGAATTCTTTTCTTCATTATATTAGCCAACATAAAAAAATCAAGAGATATTTTGGTTTGATATCAGAGGGTGAAAAATGAAGCCTGAAATTAAGAATATCTTGCAAAATGCAGCAGAGTTGCAATTGAGAGTGCAATAATCTCACCGAACTCAGTTCAGTAGACGCACATGCAGACTTGCAAGTATTTCATCAAACATGTTAAATGATGGGCTTTTTCATACACTATGGATGGATGGTAGACCGAAATGGATTGTGGTTGAATGAATTGTAAAAACCTTGCATAGAACAATGTGAAAAGCATGCTTTTGCATAATACTTTTTGAAAATTGACATGGTAAAGAAAAAATTCTGTTTCGAAAAAGAGAAAATTAAGCACTTCCTAAAAACAGCTAATAAAAAACCACCTTTGAGTGCTTTTAAAAATTGAAATGAAAATTGAATTGAAGCACGTTTAAGCACTTTTTAAAAACGCTACACACCATGGCTATTATATGGTTAATTTAAGAGTTCATGTAAAATGTCATTTTGTTTCAGTTATCTCAGGGTGGGTCTTTTTAAGTAATCGCAATATTGACAAAATTTCTGTAAATTATTATCAGAAATTAGCATCTTATAAAGAATAAAGTTATGCAAGTCATATCTAGAGAAAAACAGTTAAAAAGTGATTAACTTCAAAACACTATCAAAACAAAAGTTAACATTGCTAAAAGCTAAAAATATAAAGTTAGTGTAATGATGCAACTTTATAGGTTACCTTATAGTAAAACAAAAGATCTTTAAGGCATTTGCATATTTCCCCAACTGCTTGTTTCAGCAACTTCTTATTTTCTTCCTGAAAACGAAAAATAATATAAATTAAGGAAGTCAAACATTACAACAAAATTATGAAAATTCTGGTTCAAAATTATGAGAATTCTGAAAATACAAGACCCAAAATCGAACGGCAAAATAGGAGATCATTAAAAATTTCTCACTATGTTTCTGCATTGTATAAAATGCCAAATGACATACAAACACATGTGATAATTTTGTATTTTTAACAAGTATGATTACAATTTAGAAGTATTAATTGAAAGTTATTTCTTGATGAAATTAAAAGTTTCATATTTTGTTTTCTTTAAGAAGAAAAGCATACATTTTTAGTAATAGGTACTCCTTACATTTTTTTTTTTTGAACATAGGACTGCTGCCTAGTATACATTTTCCTGGCATTTCCAATAGTTTATAATACATAGTGTGGCGTTCTTTACAATAATTATTTTCCTAATTGGATATTATTAATAGTAAGCAAATAATTAAATTTAAACTAATATTTGTGTTTCATGAAAAAATTGATTAATTGAATAAAGAAAATGAATTTTTATAAGGTCATCAACTCGGCATCGATATTTATTTTAATAAAAGAAAACAAAGGAAAAAAATTATGTGATGTTTTTTCACACTGATGCTTATATTTTATACTTTGCCTCGAGAGCAAGTCATTACACACAATGCCTAAGTTAAATAAATAACAATTATCATATTTTATACAATAACAGCATAAAAATATAACAGTATAATAAATAACGGTATAAAAGAACTACTTAAATTACTCATATCTTGCGCAGTATAAAACTAATTTTCTTCAAATTTTTAAGCAAAAATTTTAACATAATTTTAAATTGTTCTAAAAATTTTGTTTAATTTTATTACATATTTTTAAAATTATAGCAAAAAAACGTAAGACATAACTCTTCTTTATTTTTTTTTAAAATAAAATTGTTTATATTTCCATAAATATTTCAGCTAAGCTTACAATATTTTGTGTAAATATTGCATACAATAACCAAATAGAGGTACACCGGAATATGATCCGATATCATTTAAATCAAAACAAGTACAGTCAGACCTCGATATAAGGTCACTTTTTCAAAGTCCCGTCTCACTGAATAGGAATTCTTTGTTACAGATTATCAGATATATGGTCAAGTTTTAAAAATCGTTATCGCTTATAAGGTCATTTTTATCTGAGGCGAGGGAAGCTCTTTTCTAACAAAAGCCTCTTTAACTTCCTTACAAGGCAATTACCCCTCTCGAGTTCTAAGAAAATTTTGCAGCCAACGAACAAGCTACAATTTCTGAAATTATTTCACAAGTTCTGGACAGTGATTATAATGACAGCGATCCTGTGACTGTAGCTGTAACCCAAGTGGAAGCCTTTAATGCAATAAATGTCATACGAATTTTTTTTACAAAACCATGAGGGAGCTGAGGAACAATTTGAGAAGTTACAAAAACCAGAAAACATTGTTCGAAAATGAAACCAAAAACAAGACAGACCTGCATAAATGATTATTTTAAATAAGGTAAGATGTAATGTATGTATGTTCACTTAGAGGAAATTTGTGAACAGCTTTATTTTAAATTAAAAAGTTTTTTAAAAATCTAACTTTCCTTAAATATTTAATTGATGGCCTATCGTTTTAGTTTGTATTACCATTTTTTAATAATCATAGTGTGTACTATATTTACGTGCTTAGTTATGAACTGCTAANTAAGGTAAGATGTAATGTATGTATGTTCACTTAGAGGAAATTTGTGAACAGCTTTATTTTAAATTAAAAAGTTTTTTAAAAATCTAACTTTCCTTAATTCTTTACTAATTCTGTTAAAATCTATTGACTTAAATATTTAATTGATGGCCTATCGTTTTAGTTTGTATTACCATTTTTAAAAAATCATAGTGTGTACTATATTTACGTGCTTAGTTATGAACTGCTAATGAATTGGTTAAAAGGTCACCCCGCTTATAAGGTCACTTTTGCGATATCCCTTAGGGTGACCTTATATCGAGGTCTGACTGCATAATTGTGTGGATTGATAATGTAGATATTTTGTTAGATAGTTGATTATGCAAGATAAAAAATAGAAAATTTGAATAAGATTCTCTTAAGCTATTGTCAATCAGAATGTAGTTGGTAGGAAACAACGCATTCTAACTTATCGCATTTTAAAAAGATTTAATTTTAACTGGATTCTCACCTGCAGCTTCAAATTACGATATTCTGAAATACAATAACAGAATGAGCACGGATGACCTTTTTTCGGATAATTATTTACTTCGTATCCTTCACCCTTTCAAGGAACTAATATTTATTTCGTATCATTCACACTTAAGCTGCTGCCTTAACCCTCAACACATTAAGGTCATAACACCCTCCGACTGACAGACAAATGCTAATTGTTTTACAACAGAATCCAATTCATACACATTTTATGAGAACTTTATATTGATATAAATTATTAGATTTTTTTTAGAATGGTTGTCAAGCAATTATGAATATTAATGCCTCACACAGATTAGCATTTAAATATATTGTGCGTTATTAAGTAATAAATTCACAAACAAAAACAAAGTACTATGTACTACTCACTTTTTAATATTTATTAAAAAGTTCGCTTATTATTGCTAAATTTCAAGAAACTGTAATAGAGAAGAGGTATAATTATGCAATTATGAAGTCAAATTATCAATAATAGACTGTGCTTCCAAATTATTTGGTATATGGGGATAGAGAGAGCACTATCGACAATGTCAACCTTCATCTATGAAAAGGTACCCCGTCGTAGAATCGAGTTAACATGTCTTATATACTAGTGAATTGGAATTGTATTTTTGTAATGGTAGACACACTACAGGTATATTCAATGGCTAAATCACAATATTTAATCAAATTGAAGTGTATATAAAAAAAAGAAGAGATTTTACTTTTTTTAATTCATTTAGAGAGGCCAGCCACATTATCACAATAGCTTCCATGAAACCACCCACAACCACTTCATCGTCAAATCCGCAAGCAAATCCCAATTTATAAATGTCTTCCAGATCATCAAATGATTCTTTCCTGGCTCTCTTCTTTGCTGCACATTCCTTTAATTTGACATCCTTCATTACAAACAAGTGAATGGAGTACATGGTTTTACATATAAATTTTACTGAAAAACAAATAAATAAAAAAACAATTATAAGGAGTGATGCAGCAGATTGTAACATAGAACTATCCTGTTTTTTTAAAATAAATTCTAATACTGAAACACTTGTAATATTTTATTTCTCTATTTAAAAAAGAATCAGCCATTAAAAAAAAAAAAAAAGGAAATTTGATTTAAATGACTCACCTATAGCTTGAAGTCCATGGAATTGTGGTATGTAGAGAAAGAAGACCCTGGATGCGGCCGGACTGTGTTTAATGATGTTGGCACTTCTCAGAAGTAATGATCCGATGTTGGCATCTCGGGGGAAATAGCTGTTGTAGATTAAATTCACAATGATTTTCTGTGTTACTGGATCTTCTTCCAATCTAGCAAGAAGCTCCTCCAAGGGGACAACATCAAAATACTGAAATGTTTCACAACAGTATTTCAATATGTTTATAAATCCCTGCTTAGATCAAAATGTTTTAAAAATTTTTATTTCCTATGAGCTGCACAATCAGTCTTCCCGATGAGCAGACCTAGTGCATTCTCCAGAAATGGTATCCACTCTTTCAGGACCACCACAATGGGGGAGATACCATTGGCCATGTTAATTTGGACGTCTAGTGTCTGCCACACTAGATGGCAGCACCGAGACTCTATTTGGATGCTAAAGTGCACTAGGAATTTAATTTTGCCGGAAATGTCAAGAGCCAATAAGGCACTCCAGGGATCTTTTACATGCCGCATAATCATAAGACATGGCCGCTGAGAATTTTCTGCATCCCGAGAATCCGGTGTCTGGGCCCGGGATCGAACCCGCAGACTTGGGCTCAGAAGGCTGCGCCACTCAGCCAACTGCGCCACTCAGCCACGCTTAGATCAACATAAAGAGTCTCTTTTGGCACTGATGTATGACTCTAAAAATAGTCACTTCAAATAATAAAATTGTCTCCTAAATAGTTTCAAGCATAAAATTGTTGCAAGAATAATCTTCTTCCTTAAGTTATAAGGTCAGAAATACAATTCTAGCATAAAACAACAAAAGTTTAAGATATGTGTATTTTTGTTGTTTTATGCTAGAATTGTATTTCTGACTTTAAGCGCTTTTCTATTTTGATTTATCATTTTAAATGTTACTTACTTAATTTGTCTTCTTTTGAATTTGAAAATTAATTTCATTCTTTGATTGGACTTCCCTCCTTCAGTTTATTTTAACACTATTTATGCTTTAATAATAATAATAAAAAAATCTAAATAATGTTAACTTTTTTGTGATACTTACACTGTATATATAACTTTTTTACAGAAAGTTTTGTGGAGAAAACCCTAAGAAGCTCATAATAAGAGCATCATTTGTTTTTTAAGCGTGTAATTATTAATGAAAAAAAAATTTCTTTAAAAGAAAAGATTTAAGTAATTATTTTTACAATTGTTTAAAGTCAGGTAGGGTAAGAATTTGGTTGGTAAGAAACTATGTCATCTGTTTTTTTATTTTTTTTTTTTTTTTTCCCCACGATGGATTTTTATTCTTGGGAGAGAAAAAAAGCACTAATGACAAATTTGTATTATTTAATATAATTAAATAGGCAGAAATATAGCTTTCTTATTATTCTTTTCAATTTTTAAATAAATAAATTTGATTTTGAACAAATAAATTCAACATTCAGTTACTGAATGTTGTGCATAGACAGAAAAGGATAAAGTATCCGGTAATTAATATTTGTTACTACAGAGGAGATGCAATTATTGAGTTGATATTCAGTGAAAATCTTAATATCGCAAAAAACTCAATGAAGTTTAATTTTGCACATCCACAGAAAAGAAGGCAATGTATGAAAATCATGACATATCGTCAGCANCCCGGGTTTTTTCAATAAAACCCAGGCGGGTTGGGTTTTTTCAAAAATCCCCGGGTTTTTTCAAACCCTGGCAGGAATGCACAATATTTTCATTGGCATAACATATGATTTGGTTTACTTTAATAACACAAAAAGTTAGGTTTGAAATAAAATCAGAAATCTTAAATCTATCTTAAATAAAAATAAACACAATTTTTTTTAATTTTTTTAAACTGAAATATAGAGAAACTAATAGCCAAATTATATAAAATAAATAAACTTAAGCTTTGTCTAATTTTTTAGAAAACGAAAACAGCTTAAAATTTATTGGTTTATAAATAGTAAAAAAAATACTTAAAAAAAGTAATTAAAAAATATTAAAAAAAAGTATTTAAAATAAATACGGTCAAACCTGTTATTGTGTTATTTTTTAATTGTGTGATTGTTTTATGCAGTACATGAAGATTTCAATCAAACTGTAACACCGTCAACGAAATTATCAACAACAAAAATTAGTAGATTTTAGCGGCCACTTCATTTTTTTTACGTGCAATTCATTACTTTACATAAGTATTGTATCAGCCAATTAGATTAGATATGCATTGAATTGAAATTAAAATCAATAAAACTCTGTAGAAGTTTATTTAAACACAAATTACTGCGATTAAATTATACAGCTTAAAATTAAAATAAAAAATTTTAATAAAAATTAACCAAATCAAAAATTTTCTAGAGATGTAATTCTTCTCATAAATAAATTGTGCTCAAAACTGGGTGACGCACGGTGATCACGAGTGTTTACTAACCCCACTAAAAATAATCTACAATAAACAAAATAAGGCGTAATAAAAATTAAAAAGTAAGGAACTAAATAAGAAACATATCATCCTGGTTAATTACTAAGCAGTAAATATTACTTTAAAATGCTTTGGGAAAAAAAAGCTTTAGTAGCTTACCTTTATAGCTGAAATTTTTTTGATTTTTAGGAGAACTTGAGAAAAAGCTATTCTTGCAGAATCAGATATATCATGGAAGAGGTGTTTTAACTTAGGGAGCACAATTTGCATTGTTGGTATAGTAAGGACGTTTTCTAAAAGCGCTCGAGCACCCTAAAAAAAAGGAACATATATAAATTTTAAATAATCACAAATAAAAAAACAAATTAGACAGTAGAGTTTTAATTAAATAATGAAAGAATCTATATATTACATAAAACACTAATCTAACCCAAGAAAAAAGGCAGAATTATTTTCTTCCTGTTGCCAACGGCTATGCCTAAATTACATTAAGAAACAAAATATAAATAATTCATAAAATGTTGAGTAGTATGCAATACGCAATGGCCCAAAGAATGAAGTTCAAAGATCAGGTCAAGAGCGACGATATTATTCAGTTTTCTTTGCCTTTTTGGATAAAAATTAAGATATTTGAATTTTTCTTTCTTTCAAGATTAAACGTGGGTAGAATTGTAATCCTTTACTTTCATTTAAACACCAGTAAAATTGCAGAAGACTAAAGCATGGACAATTAATAATTGATAATTAAGGAAAGAAAAAAGCGTGTTCCTAAGATGTGCGAAATTCCTTTTAAAACTTATAACAAGAAAATATAAATGAAACAACTTATTCAAAAGGAGAAATTATCTGTAAATTCAGCACTTTAATATTTACAAAAGCTAAAAAATAAATAAATAAAAAAGCCAGTGAGAGTATGTAGGAAGTGTTTATTTTCTATGCAAAATTTTGACATTTTATTAATTAATTTGACAAAACAAATGTAAAGGAATCTGGTTAACATATTGACCTAAATTTTTAATTTTAGAAGCTCATACCATATGGCAGTATGATATTATTTAAAATTGAGATAACTTTTCACGATCTAAATTTAAATTTTATAAGAAAACTAGTACAATTATTTTCTTTTTACTCTTGGTAAGTTCAATACTTTATTTCTTTATATAATATAAGAAGAGAGTGAAATATAACAAATAGCCAATCACAGAAGACTTGCGGTTAGTAACACACAAAACAGTCAATTAAAATTGAGAACGCATGTGTGTGAAGAAGTATTAGTTTTTAATAATGCTGCTCGCTAAAATGCTACGACTAAACTTACCAGCTAAAGCTGACTGGTGATTTTTATTTTATTTTGAGTATGTCTAATAATGGTGACGCAGTTTTCCATTGTTGTCCGTGCATTTCTATTGGCCTAAAAATCATGAGGTAGGATCCAGTTTTTCCTCATTCATTTCAAGATTGCTTTGGTTGTCATCAGCATACAATTATTCCTTTTAGTATATATATGTTAAGGGAATAGTTTAAACTTTAGTAGAAAAACTGTTTTCTGCTAAGAAAAGACAATTATTGCAAAGCAATCAATGGGGTTGGTGAGTGGCAGCGAACAGGGGGCTTAGCTCCCTAGTATTTTATATATATAGTATATATATATATATAAAGTATATATATATATACAGTAGGGAACCAATTATCCGGAACGATCGCCATTCCGGATAACTGATTTTTCCGATTTTCTGAAGTCGTTTTTTTATTGTTAAACCCAACTAAAAAATAAATAAAAAATCGGAAATAATGTTAAAAAGAAGAAAAAACGATGAAGTAATACACTAATGATTATTTCCAAAATTATGGTAAGGTAAACATCTTTCAAAAAAGAAAGGAAAATCCTAAAATCTTATGAGGAGAAAATGTTTCCCCCCTTTTTTTAAAAAAAGGGGGGAAACTTTATCGAATTCCGTTCCAGTTTTTTGGTTTACCGGTTTTCTGAATTCCGGATAAAGGGTTCTGTACTGTAGTATATATATATATAGCACAGAAGTATCGAAATTAATTATATTTCTCTCAATAATTTTGATACATAAGCATGTTGCATGAGTGTATTGTAATGCCAGACAGTTTTGGTCAGTGTAAGAGATTTGAAGATAACAGATCGAAGAAGGGAGCCTGTACATGATAAAAGTGAGATTTGGAACAGAGTAAAATTGGACATCGTGAGAAAAAAAAAAGTAGATTTCTGGTGATCAAAGGTGGAATTTGTTTTATTGCATAGGTTTCCTTCAAGTGCATACTTCAAGGTTTTCTTAATGTCTCAATTTTCCTTTGTCTCAATAAAGTTATATATTTTCTCCATACTAAGTGGATTTGCCTGCATTTTCGAGAAGGAAATATTTCTTCCAGGTTTGTAAAAGAATTAAATTAACATTAAGGGGTAGTCCAAATTTTGGAGCCCTCTCCTGACCAAACTGTTGGGACCAGATTTCCCAGATTGCGGCTACCCCCAATATTTTGGAGGTCAGAAATTTGAATCCGTCGAAAAAAAACATGCTTATTCAGAGAAAGTATGTTTTTGTGCCTGATTTCATAACTTTAAATATCGCCTACACATACTGATTAGCATATTTGAGATCGCTTCCTCGAACCTTTAAGATTGAGTCCTAGAACATGAAGATACGATCATTAGATCGAAAGATATTAAGGGTGGTTCGTTTATTTATTTTGCTCCCTGTACTTACATATGTTCATTGAACTTACATATGTGTGCATACATAAAATAGGAAAAAACAGAAGCTGTACATATAGATATATATGCATGAACATAAAATGTTCATAGATATATGTATGTATGTATATACATGAACTGAACATACATATAGTATATATTGTACAAATGTACATTAAGCATAGCACATTATACATTGGACATATATGTATTTTATCAATGTATGTGCATAAAATAAAAAATGGGCCACCATCAGGGCCGGATTAACCTATAGGCACACTAGGCACGTGCCTAGGGCCTACGAAAAACTTGGGAGAAAAAAATTTGTTGACAAAAATAATTTAGCTTTAAAAACAACAAGTGTATTTTGCACAAAATTATGAAGATACAAATAAAAATATAATATTTTTCGGTAATAAATTATTTTGCAGAATCT